CAATGGCCTTACCCCGAGCTCATTTGTTAAGATTTGCCGAATGGAATATTGCGATATGTTCAGCTCACGAGCCATTTTTCGGTCATTGCGACGCGGGTTTCGATCAAGTCGCTTCTTCACTTTTCGAACCATTTCTGCTGATGTTGCTGTTTTCTTCCGTCCACTTCCTTGACATGGGGCTACGCTACCAGTATCACGGTAAGGAGCGATGGTACGAGACACAAAAGATTTATTCACATTTAAATGCTGGAGTGCTCTAACGATAGCCTCTTGTGGTTTTCCAGCCAAATATAAAGAAATCACACTATCACGCTTGAATTCCATCACGAATAACTTTTTTTCTGGAAAATTCTCACCAAAATGTTTTTGCTGGAATAATTTTAACAGCTGGAATAATTTAACAGCTGTCGGACGAGTGGCTTAGAAATGACAGCAGTCTGAAGTTGGTTGCAGTTTTTTCATCTCACCCTATGTACAGGTCGCAATTATCGTCCGATCATCACGAAATTTTGCATGGGGGTAGGGTTAGGGTCAAAAGTAAAGCCTATTGTTATGGAGATGTACTTTTTGATGTCCAAATGGACCAAAATATTAAATTTTTCCTGATGTTGCAGTCAATCTATAGGTTACCAATCGACACGAAATTTTGCATGAGGAGAAATTCAAGGGTCTGAATTCGCCTCCTTTGTGACCATATTAAATTGACCTTGACCCTAACCATATACAAGGGCACCTCAATACTTTGAGTTATATTTCGCAACATTTAGATCACTTCAAGAATCATTGTATTAAAAATGGGACTTTGTGGAATGGCCTCTATTCCAGAACCTGCAAGAATCCACAAGTATTACATTTTGTTTTTCAATATCACAAAGGGAAATTCGGTTATCGTAGTAAAAACTGTTACATTCTTGCAGTTCTGAAACAGGCCAAGTATCAACTCCGATTTCAAATATATTTTACATTTTATTTATATTTTCCATTTAATTTCACCAAGTGTTGGTATTTTGAGTTGTTATTATGTAGAAATCCTACTTGTAAAATATTATAACATTGGTCAATATTTGGGTATAGCCCTTATATAAAGATTGTAATTATTACGAAGTTCTTTACCACATTCTCCAATCGATTTGACAGACAATTTTTATTTTGGTTTTTTCATTACTTCTTCTTTTTTTCCAATTTACGTTCACCCATTTCTAAAGGTTTCGTGATAGGAACGATTTCAGCCTGGAAAACACTAGAATTGTCAAATGATCAGTTGAAACCCTTTTCTTCTGAGACCCCTTTCTTTCTTCCACTTTTTACCCTTTTATATTAATTATTGCATATGGAAGATTTCATTCACACAATGACGCTTAAACAACTTTCTAGCATTTTCCTTATTTTTTTAATTAAAAATTCAAAACATTGTTTTTCTTCAATACCAATTAAAATGATCGGAAGTTTTTTGCAGAGCAATGACATTTCTGTCGGCAAAACACCCACCACAGCGCAAAAAGAGAACACTCTCTCTCACACACATTCGCACAAACATTCCTCAAAACAGATGTTTCCTTCATAAAAAATACTCAGTTTTTTAGTGAGAGAATTTGCCAGAATTTTCCCTATTTTTCATAATTTTTTTAATAAATAACAAATACTAACTTTAATTTTACCATCGGCACCTCCGGTGAAAATCTGATCTCCATAGGAGGCAATGCAGACAATATCACCTTCATGTTTTTCCGTTGAAACTTTGTCAATGGCAGGCATTTTTTGTAGTTTTTTTTAATTTAAAAATTTAATTTTTACTTTTTTCTATTTATTTTATTCTTTTTCACAAACACACAATAAGTGTTATGGTTTTTACCGCTTAGCGCCTTTATTGTTTTCCGCTGAAAATTCGTTGCAATACTAATTTCAATTCACTTATATCGCGAGAGGCAAACAGATTTTTATACTGCCAACATCTTTACGTAGACATGATCTATATTTAGATTATTGATGAGATACATTTGTGTACAAACATACATACGTGTGTATGAATGTCCTACAAACTAGACTAGACTATGTAGTAAAGTATGCTATATATGGCATAATCGGTTTGTTTACTCATTGGTAAGCAGTAGAAAAATGTCGAAAATTCCATTATGGAAAAGATGAGAAGAAAAATAAATCATTGAGTCTTACAAATATTTATTCCATAAATTATTTAAATTTACAATTTTTATGTAATTGAAACAATAAGTGTTATGATAAATACATATCGAGGTATAATCTCCATTGATATATATAGCAAGGCAGAGTTCAAGTAATATGCAAAATAATATGTTATACCTGGCAATTCTGAGTAGATAACCTTAATCAAAATGTAAAGCATAATCTAAGGTGCATCGTTATTTTATTCGTTACTCCTTTTTTAGGTTTTTAGAAGATTCTCGAAACAATTGTTAAAAAAATTGAAAGAATGTATTTGAAATAAAAAATTCATCCGAAAATTAGAAATTACATAATACAAACTCTGCTCAACCTCATCCTCATAAATACTTTTTCATAATATATGAAAGATTATTAGGTGTACAAGGTTAACTTAACCTCGAGGATTTTTGTCCGCAAAATTTAACAATTTCTGACTTAATTAATCCCAATTTCATTCTTGGTCTGTTCCAGAACTGCAAGAAGATACAAGTTTTTACTACAATAACCGATGTTCCCTCTATGATATCGAAAAAAATGCAGGTTCTGAAACAGGAAAATTTTTATAATTTTGAAAAGGTTGTGAAACCCGCTAACTCTTTAGGCACTCGTGTCTACAGCTGTCAATCGATGGAAATATCGGTAGCACCGATACTTTACTTTGTGGACTTTTTCATCGATATTATTGAACGAAATAACAGATGCCATGTTCTTACAAGCATTGAAATTACATTACACCCTTTGGAATTAGTCATTGTAGAAAAATACAGGTAGTCGCATCGACAAAGCTGCTGGGAAAATCAACTGTCAAACTTATTATGGAATTAAAAATGCTGAATGAAAAATTATTGAAATTTGTAAAAATTTTTGAAAAATTTATCCGATTTGCATCGTACAAGAAATATTTTAAAAATTTAATTATTTTTGACAAAATATTTAAAATGTTTTGACATGTCAATGTTCCCAAGCGTTGATGCATCTACCTATATTCTTTTAACATGGAATTAGCACAGGAATTAATAAGTTCATATCATGGCACATATACAGAACAAAGCTACCTCCTTAATACATTTTTTTCCTTTGGGAGCCCCTATTCTATGAAAACATATACACAGTTTGTTTATGTGTGTGTATTTATTGTTTTGAATAAAAAATAAATGTATAATTTTGGGACAAAGCTATCTTTTCCTACTATCTTGGACTCAATTCTGTGGAGAAAGCGCAATAATCCATTCAAGTTTAGTGGATTTTCCCCAATATAATAGTTTTATGAAAAAAAAATTTCAACTAAACAAAACCAAGTTGCAAGCATGGTACAATGAATTCAAGGTAGGGCAGAACTACCATATGATTTCAATTTTTTTATTTTCTTGGCTTAATATGTCATCTTTATTTGTTTATGTATGTGTTTTCTTTTCAATAACAAAAAAATTGTTCAGAAAATATTCAAATTCGGGTGTTTTCAAAATGCTTATTGCAACATATGCATCGACAAATTCTAAAGTTTTTGTCGCGAAATAAACCATAACAGATATATAGAACATGATATTGAAAAGAAATTTTGACCATTTATTCAGTTTTCGCGGTTTTAAATTATTTATTCAAAATCAATGCAACATGTTGTTTGCTTTTTTATTGTTTTGATAGTAATTCTGACATTACAAGCCAAACAGGTAGACCTCTATACTTGCAATTTTTTCAAAGTTGACCTACCTTCTCTTCATTGTACCATGGTTGCAAGTTTAAAATGTCTGTTTGACACAGAGTTGCATTTTCCTAGTTCCTTTGAAGACGGTTCGTAAGATGAAAACCGATTTTCACTTTCCGATATAGAAAAAATGACAAAGATAGTAGATTCTTGCAGGTTCTGAAATAGAATGCACTATCAAAATTTGCAGCAAACTGTGCTGTTAACGTTAAAATTATTCCTCATTACTTCCAAAAGACCCTTTTTGACATATGGCCTGTTCCAGACCTGCAAGTATGTGCATTTTTCACTACGATAACTGATTTTTTCTTTTTCCTGTTCAAGTATCTGCTAGAATCTACTATTTTTTTAAATTGTCTTCGAAAATCGGTTATAATAGTAAAAAAATTTACATTCCTGCAGTTCTGAAGCAGAATAATTATATCAAAAAAAAAATGCTCAACTATTACTCCTTTGATAAACCATTTTAAACTGTTTATTTATCAAATTACTATTTACACACACCACTTTTTCATTCATATTTAAGATTTTTTGAATTTTTTAAACTACATTTTGACTCATGGTACAATAAGGAGGTAAACCAGCTTCGTAAAACTACAGAAATACAGCCATAAGAGTATGCCCGCTTTCTGTCAGAATTATTCAAAATTATAGGCAACAAGTTTTCATTTATTTGATATTTTTGTCCATTTCTAAAATGAGACAAATAGCGCGAAAGATGAATGAAAAGCTTGGATGTTCTCTCAAAAATATGATCCTAAGTGTTCAATCTTTCAATTGCATGGCAAATCTCGTTAATATTACTAATGCGCGCCCCGCAATTTAATTTTCTTCCAACAACAAATACATACACAAAATTGGCAGAAGTCGGACACACTTAGAAGAAAATTGTAATCACCTGGGAGCTCTACTTTACCTTTTTATTGTACGATGTTTTGACATATCTTTCTACCGTCAGCTGCGTTGATGCGACTACCTAACACATCTGGCATTTTTTTTTTTTGATGGAAAAATAACTAGCAATCGATACTCCTCATAAACATAAAATATCGATACTATCAAAAGTACCATCGACTTTTTGCCAGCTCTAGTTACGAATGAGAGGAGAAAAACGTCACACTGCACTACGAATAAGAAAATTTCTATGCAAAACTAAAAAGAAAAAATATTTTATAAACGAATAATAATATTTATTTATTGATCCCGAATACCCCCCAAACAAAACGTCCAATGTGTGCTTGTTGTGAATTGAATAAATTAAATAAACAAACAATAGCTCTTTGCCGCAGAGGAGGAGCTAAAGTGATTAATAGGAGTGAAAAATAATTGGAAACCAAAGCTTAGCCAGCGAACACAGCCAAGCAAAACAAAACAAATTCATAAAAACACAAGGAGATAAATTTTGTGGCCAAAATATAATTATTATGTTACAAGAGGAGAACAACGAGGAATATCAGAAGGAACGATTTCTTTACATACTATTGATGACAGTGAATGTGTCCATAACATTAGTTATAATGTTGGCGGCGTGTCTCTGTTGCAAGAAAAAATTGCCAAAGTGAGTAATAGAAAAAAAACGACAATGATGATTACAACTACTGCAGGCAGTTTGTGTCACAGAGGTGACTGACAGTTGTGGTTTGGGGAGTGGGAGGGTATGTGTTTGGTGGGGCTAGCACATTTGATGGCCCAGGGGCAGAAGGGGCAGCTTACATTGTGAGCTTGCTTGTTTCATGTGTATTGGTGCTGAAGCCTTTCTAAATCATAGCGTATTGATGGAGTATCACAGTAGTCATTTCATTGCTGCTATTTTGCTCAGTACAAATGTTGTTGCTGCTGGTTAGCTAGTTGATTTGAGTTTAGGTGTTTGCATCGTAATGTATGTTCGTCGTACTTAGGTTGTGTGCTGCTCTTGGACAAACACACAGTGATGTAAACATCACTTTGATTTCGGGGAAAGTATTGTTAGTCCCCATGAACAACAAACTGTAGAAAAGGTGGCAGATAACAGACGACGAAGATCTATGTATTTGCTGTCGTGCTATAGTTTTTTTCGATAGTGGATGCAACATAATTCCATTCGTTATGGTTGCAAAAGCATTTTTTCAGATGTTATGCTTGGTTTACTTTCTATTCAAACTTCCAACAATGTCCAGTACTAAACTAATTACCTTCACCATAGGATAGATTGTAAATTAGGTATATTTTCCATAAGTTATAGAGGCACATGAAAAAGCTAGAAAGTACGGTCTGTACGAACTTTTTATGCCCTGCAGCGTGAGAAAAAATAAATTAGCGAAACGTTTGTGAGATTAAGTTTGCCTCTTACAAAACCGAAATATAAATGACTTTTCTTTCGTTTGCAAAATGTGACCGGGGCTTTCCAAATGTCAATACTAAAAACGGATATAAATTATGAACTGGACCTTTGTTGAAAATTGTTAAAGTTTGAGTTGGACATTCAAAACTTATACTGTGGATATCTATGTAAATCTCTTAAGGTCCTAAATGCAATTATATAAAATTGTTTTATATAAAAGTTTCTACTTCACCACACACAAGGGCCTTTCACTAAAAAAGGAAGGTTTTGTTGCACAGGCCTTGTTAAAAACTGCTAATAGCTGAACGTTTTAAATGCATCAATAGATCAAATCTTCAAATTCTGATAGCATAAATTGTTACCGAAAAAAAAAAAATATTTCCTGAATGCACTTTCGGATTTCCACCAGGAAATGCTTTTCTAATAATCAAAATATTAGCAACCATCTGTGCTGATAATTTTTTATACAAGCTGAATTTGTGCTGGAAGGGATAGAGACATCTAAATTTTACAAATCCAAAATCTGATTAAAAATGTCAAAGCTCTATACATATATTTCTTTTGTATCGTGATTACGTCATATATAAGTTGTTTTTCCAACTTTAATTATAATTTCTAACGAGTTTTGCATTTGTCTGCAGCTAACGGCCTTAGAGATTACTTAAAAGCAATATCGCCCCAATCATATACATTCCGATTCTTGTGATTATTTTGAGAACGTAGCTTTTACCTTTGTTGTCCTTAAAGATATTACTTCAATTATACCCTTCTCCGAACGTTCCTTCCGGCCCTTAGTCACAGCTATTATGAAAATTTGAATTTCTTAGAACTAACTCTATGGTCTTAAGTATCGTGTCCCTAAATAATATAATTGCCATGGAGCTAATTGAACTCCAGGTTTATAAATTATTTTATTACCCGATTTAGGGATCACCTTAACCAATATTTTTAGAATATTATTTAATTTCATGTTTATTTCAATTTTTTCCAGAAATGACCTGCTGGGTTTGGAGGGCATGGTTAAATTAAAAAATCCCGATGAAGTAGTAGTTGTGACACAATTGAATGCCAGTGAATCTCATGTCGATCTTAATAATTCAACTGTATCTCAAGCGGATTCTGAAAAGAGGTTAGTCAAAATAATCAACATTTAATACCGTTGATAATATGCATTCCGATTTTTTCTTAGGGCCAGCACAGCAGCCCATCGTTCCTTACCCGATATACCAGTGGCTGAGGCAAACGGTGATACCGGATCTGAGCTTTATGAAACGGTGGCCGACAAAATGCTTATGGATGCTCAAAATCAAAATAAAAGTCGTAAGTATCGCTATAAAACAGAATAAAATAATACAATTATATTACATTACTATACAACATATTAAACTGATTTAATAAAATTGGAACATAAAGATGCAGATACATGGCTTGTGTCATCGGCTGGCTTTTTCGTAAAAGAACAAAGGAACGTAGGGTAAACAAATATAAATTATGAACCGCAATCAAACAAACTCAATCTGAAACTAATTTGTTCTTCTTCGAAGAAGCTAGCCGGTGATATAAGGCACTGAAAAAAAAAACTTTTATGTATCTGCGTATTAACAGCAAGGATTACAAATGTAGGAAGTCATTGGAAAATGTCTATTGCCACAACATTGAGAATGGACAAGCAAATTACTATTATTTGTTTCCTTACAACTGTTAAATAACTCACAAAATTTTAGTTAGAACTTCCTTACATTGAAATGATACTAATTTAAAATCACAAACGCATTGCCATTGTTTTAGCCACACCAAGTTTAAAGAAACAAATAAGTGTTTCTCAGCACAGTTCCATAAGTCAGGCAGACGATGTTAGTTCCCCGTACTCAAGAGTTAAGAATTCACCACATGACTATGCAAAGGTATACGATAAACAAAAAAACAGATAATACCAAGAAAAAAACCTAACATTGTCTTTGTTGTTGTTATTTCATAGGTGCGTCCCACAGAGCATCCATATGCACAGTTAAATGCACCGTCTACTTCACATTTAGCATCATCGGCGCCTTCTTCAAATTCTATTGTTGACGGCGCCCAGTCACAACAACACCATCATCACCATACGTCAGGTACTCAACTCAATGTAAGCAATAACGAATCGATCCATCAACAACGCACATCACATCACAGTGATAATGCGGAACATGCTAACGACAATGGTCAACATGAAGCTGAAATACCCGCTGCTTCGGCCATAGCCGGTATGATTTCGGCTAGCCAAGATTTGCCGTATATGACGCCACCCATAGCTAATCAACATTTTAGTGGTGATTCACAGGATTCGTCAAGTGAGATAATTCAGCTAACAAAATAATCGTATATAAATATGACAAACTCTCTTTAATTGTGCTATTTTTTTTATCAGAAGGTTATACCAGTATCAGTGTACGAGAACCATTGGCAAATATATTGGCTCAACAGCCACAAGTACAGTCAGCAACACGCAGCGCTGGACATTCGCGAGATGTCAATGATTCACACTATGCTACAGTATCCGACGATTCAGGTATGAACATAAGGCAAGAAAATGGCAATTTCAAAAAATCTCGCGATATTTTGTAATGGAAAGAGTTTCTAAAATTATCTGCCTGATGCATATAATGAACAAATGAGAAATATAGAACGAATTTGTAGATTATCTATACTCGGCGTCGAAACAATTTCAATTCGTTTGAGATGCAAGAAATGGTAGATAGGTTCATGTCTCAGGGTTCAGTTAGACAGCTATGGTTTCACAGAAACTTCAGCTGTGGCTTTCTTGAAAAGATATTTCAAAAACTCCAAAGTATGAGTACATGAGTCCTGGTAACATTTGAGTTTTCTTCAATTTGAGAACAGAACTGCAAAACAAAAGTTTTTAGAACGATAACCGATTTCCCTTTATGAAATCGAAAACAATTGCAAAAATAGTAGGCTTTGGAACAGATCAATAGTTTTAAAATAAATGAGTGTGGTCATAAACTCTGTAAAACCCAAATAAAACGTCAATGCCACGAGATATAGGAAATGTCACAAAAAACACAATTTTATTGTCATGAAGATTAAATTTATTAATGGCTTTTTCATTGTTTCAAATTCGGTTTAAATTGTATGCATTGGATCTTCTAGGGAACGCGCTCCTAAAACAGAATCCCAAATCACTTGTACCCATATTTTGCATGGAGCATTTTTATATAATGAGAACTTAAAGACCTCAACGAATTTAATATTGTATCAAAACAAACAAATTTAAAACTTGTAGTAATTTAAGATTTTAAAGCATTTTACACGAGCTTAGCAATGGATCTTTTCACGGCGAGACTAGTGCAATCGTCGTTTTTTTCTTCTACTGTTGTCCTGCAACTGGTTATGGGCTTACGCTGCGGTAGTCAAGGTTAACTCAACACCCACTAGGTCTCAACTTTGTTAGAGGAAAGCAGTAATAAATCTGTACGCTAAAGTGGCTGTACATATCCTGATGTTGATCAACATACTTCCCAGCATTCAATATATCAATCTATTGCTTCGAAACCATTTCGAAATATAAGCTTTTCCTAGCAAAATGTTTAGAAAATGTCTTAAAATTAATGAACTCTGAGGAAGTCAGGCAGATATATATTCTTTTTTTATTGTTCGATGCTAATCTCATTCGGCTCTATTTACAAGGCAGTTTTTGATAGAAGATTACTGATGATTCCAACAGACATTTAAGACTATCTTATAAAGCCTTGCATCTAAGGCAACTCCCTATTCTGATTTTCTGAAAAATTCCATTAAAACTTGAATTGCAGATGCGGCCATAGCGCCTCTATTTCGAATTGTCTTGCTCTATTTCGTATTAAATTTCAAATTCATTAATTTTAGATGAAACTTATGCTGCTATTGAAGACCCCAATAATCGACCACAAACCAATATCGCCACAGATATCTATACCAGTGGCTCCGAAACTTATGCCCAAATTCAGCCTATGCAATCACCAAATTCAATGGTAGTCTCGGTCGAAATAAATAACACAAATGCAAGCACTGTGCAATTACCAGTCAGCAGCAGTGGTCATCTGTTGGCAACAGGACAACAAAATCTTTCTTCACTATCTTCACATTCTACAAGCGATCATCATAATGCATCGTTCAGTTCACAACATTCCACAAATACATGTGTCAATGTCGGTGCAATGCGTTCAAGTTTAGAACTTATAACAAACACAACAACAGCGACACCAATACCACCACCCGTTGATAGTTTAAGAGCACAAATGCATTCGAGGCAGGCCTCAGCATCGTCTAACAACAGTACTTCTCTGTGTAATCTAGGTTCACCCAAGCCAGAAAAACGTCAAGCCAATTCACCGTTACCGCCAACACCAAAGTCCAATGTTTCGTCGTCCACAACACAATTACAAGCGCTGAGTTCGAGTAATTTGACGTCGGGACGTAACTCGGTAATATCTGTGATTGAATGCGCTGGAGAGTTAATGGAGGAGGGTGTCACAGATGTACCACTTGATAGTTCACCTCAGAGGAGAAACAAAAGCTTAAGTCCTTCAAAAGACATCGAAGGAATGTATGCCAAGGTATGGTAAAAACTCATCATTTTTTCAATGGGGTAATAACAATTTTTTATTTATTTTTGTTTTAGGTTATGAAAAAGAACAAATTCTCACGCAATTCACCCTCATCACAAAACAGTTCACCCATTCTGCAAAGAAAATACAACACCGATGACAGTGCCTCCGCTTTGGGTGTTAGTCCCTTGGACAAATTAGAGAGTAACAATTCGTATGGTGTTAATACCATCAGTGATCGTCGTTTACGTAGCAATAGTTATGGAGCATCGAAGGATCATGGTTATGAAACTATACCCGCCGATGCTATGCGTGGAAACTCCACACAAGGTATAATAGAAAATCGTAAATCGGACGGCTATGCTCATGTCCTACAGAAAGAACGACAGCGGGAAAATGGTGAGTAATAATGAAAGGTCTTTTATGCTGCTATTTTATATAACTTGTATTCCTCGTTATTCCAATCTTATATATTCCATGTGTTTCATGTGTCTAAACATTTTTCTTTCTTCCTATACAATATTTTCCAAAAACAAAAAACTACAAATGCTTATATGCTTCTCCTTCGTCCATTGTTAAACCAAAATCACTGAACCACATGTTTTGTCACCGTATCAACTTATTCAAATTGTTATTTTTTCCAAAACAAATCGTTGTTAGTACTATAAAAATGAAATTCTCAACGCATTATTTCTTTCCTATTTTGTGAAATTGAACGTAAACTCAAACAAATCTAAAAAAAATCCTAACGAATTTGTTAATTTGGAACCTGTGGTTAGTATTAACGGAAACCCTCCTTACAAAGGCTGCATGCTTTAATTAAACAAAAACCTTTTTACGGACATATTTTGTATGACGTTGTTTTGAAAAGATGCTTGAACTTATGTTTGTTACTGTTATTATTTTTTGTAAAAAATAAACAATAGATTTAAATTTTAATAATTCGAATTAAAAAGTAGAGAGTATCGTTAAACCATTACTTTTTTGACTTCTAGCCCAATCCTTTTTTTTTTTCTTTAATGGAATTTTCTTTTATCCTACTTTTGCGATCATTTACACCAAGAGTGTTGTAACTCAGAAAAATTGATTTAAATAAAATCTTTTGAGAAATTGAGTATATCATATATTAAGATGATAACAAATAGGTTATCTTAGCTACATTACAGGGTGAGATAAAAAACTGCAACAAAGTCAAACGCCATCATTTGTGCATTTTTTTACATTTTATTAAATGAAAGCAAAAATGACGGAAATAGCATAAAATTTTAGAATAAGTTCAGATTTGTTCGAATTGGTCACTTTTGACACGAATTATGGCCTTCAAACGGCCAATTAAACCATCACACGCTGCCCGAATGTTGCTCTGCGGTATTTTGGCCTATTCCCGACGAAGCGCTTGCTTGAAGCGAGGAACCTCATTTTGTAACCATTCTTGGTTGGCTCGTACTGCTGAGTCCTGTTGGAATGTCCAAGGTCCGTGGCCAAAATGTTTGCACGTCCAAGACTTTAATATACCCTCTAGAATATTTTCGCGATAATATTCGGCATTTATTCTGATGCCACGATCGATTAATACGAGCGGAGAGCGACCATCGGCTGTTATGGCGCTTGAGTTCTAGTGGCCAACCGAAGGTGAACATTTTCAGCTGACCTCTTTGGCAAGTAAACACGATCGTTTACAAATGGCTGGATAACGAATGTTTTCTCATCGGAGAAACCCAAATTCTGCAGTTCACCACTTTCGGTCAAGCCAAGCAACCATTTAGCACTTTTGAGGCTATTTTCTTTCTGTTGCTTTTTTGGAATTGCAATGACTTTACCCCGAGCTCATTTTTAAGATTTGCCTAATGGAATATCGCGATATGTTCAACCCACGAGCCATTTTTCGGCCACTGCGACGAGGTTTTCGATCAAGTAGCTTCTTTACTTTTCCAACCATTTCTGCTGATGTTGGTGTTTTCTTCCGTCCACTTCCTTGACATCGGGCTACGCTACCAGTATCACGGTAACGAGCGATGTTACGAGACAAAAAAGATTTATTAACAGTTAAATGCTGGGGTGCTCTAACGATAGCCACTTGTGGTTTTCCTGCCAAATATAAAGAAATCACACTCTTGAATTCCATCACGAATAACATTTTTTCTGGAAAATTCTTACCAAAATGTTTTTGTACGCTTGTAAACAATATAATGAGCTGTCACTGGAATAATTTTAATAGCTGCCGGACGAGTGCCTTAGAAATGACAGAAATACATGAAGTTGGTAGCAGTTTTTTCATCTCATCCTGTATTAAAAATTGATAATTTTTGTTTTTCTTAAATCAAGGTTTGAACAAAGAGTTTCAAGGACACATTATATGAGTAGAACATGAAACTCCACAAAAGTTTTTTTTTTCTGAATTGTTACACTCGTTGAGTATGTAAACGCTTTGGTGACTCCTTCCCAATTATTTATGTGTAAAATGTTGTCAAGATTTCATTCATTCCCCTAAATTTCTTTAATAGTTAATATAGTATTCTATATCCCCGATTTTATACTCATTCAACGAATTTATTTTCGCATTTGTTTATTTTACGTACTTCTTTGCTATATGCGCTAATATGTTGCAGTTCATACCTCATCATCTGTACCACCGATAAATGTCTACAGTGTACAATTAAATAATAGCGATAAACATTATGAAACTATAGCTCAACCGCCCAATGCCGCCAGTTCAAATGATCCCGGCTATGAGACTTTAGAGAAACCAAAAAATCTTCATCACCACCATCAACAGCAACTGTTACAGGATGATTGTGAAAAGAAATCATCGGATTATGATCCCAACTATGAAGTACTCAAGGGTCCAACAAATTCGGCCGGAGCCTCCGATGATGGCTATGCCAAGGTTTTGGAAAAGAAAAATGTACTTGTCGACGGTGAAGATTCCCTAGATGGTTATAGTAAAGTGAGAGGAGAAACAGAAACAGCAGCTGGCTATAGTACAATAGCCGACGTTAAACGGACCGATGCCAATCATAATTATGCCAGTATTTTGGAAACAAAACGTGAAGCAATTGGCGGCGGCGGCGGCAATTCCGATGACAACCAATTAGAGACTGACAGTGATCATTATGCACGCATTGCTGAGAAGAATATTGCTGCCGGCGAGCAAGCAACGACAATACGAACACCACCCAACCTACCGCTGAGTGCTTCACAAAAATCAATGGTAGATGAAGAATTGTTAACACCACGCACAACCACAGAACTCTCCATTACATCACCAACGTCCATTACCAGTAGTTCTATGCTTAATACCACCAGCTCGATCAATTCCACTTCCACAAATTTAACAACCACTAGCACAATTAGTTCTCGCCAAACACCTACCTCATCTTCTCAATATGAATCCCTTACAGGCAGCGAAACAGATCCCAACTATGAATCCGTCTGCTATTTGAACACCTCAGGCCAAGAAGGGGAGGAGAATCCCTATGAACGTTTACATACGGAAATCTCAGATGACATAACTCAGCTAAGTAGTCCTGAAGCCTCTACCCACACAGCTGGAGCAACCACCACCACTACAACAACAAACAGTAGCAGCAGCAGTAGTAGCAATAGTTCGGCGGCAGCAGCAGCAGGCATGGCGGAACAACATTCCAAAATGTTAAAGGCAAATGGTTCCAAAGTAACTATAACAAACCAAGATAATACAGCAAATGATATTTTGGTCAATGACTATTTTCAAGTATAAATAGGAACTAAGAGTGATTCCATTATTGATTTTTACAACAACAAAAACAACCAAGTATATACAGAAAATCTCACCTTATACAGGGGGTGTGGTAACAAGTAACTACTATACTATTTTAGGGCTTTTTTGCTTAGCAATTATTAAGTATTGGCACGAACATATCATTTCACCGATGATATATAAATATTATTTTTTTTAAATGATTATTGTTTTATGTGAATCTGTTGTTTTCTTTTTTCATGCTTTGAAAAAGTGTATGTATATTTTAAAATTATTTTGTTTTACTTTGTCGTTAAGTATAAATATAAATTATGTAAATTTCATTATAACATATGTATCAATATATATATTTATATGTGTATTAGATAGTATCATTATTTTAGAATACATTATATACCACTCTGTTCCGTTTAAAATTGATGGCCAAAAGTGAAGATTTTAAACTCATTGGAAAAAATCCAGTTTTGTATTCATTGAAAATGATCCACAAATAAATCAGTTAATCAATGGCTACAATAAAAATCGTCATTCAGAAGACTGTCCAAAGAATACCCATTAGCCCAACGCAAATTGAACGTCAAAGTAACTTTCTTAAATGCAAATTTCACTAAAAATTAATTTCCCAAATTATAAAAAAAAACAATTTAGAATGTGTTTATTGGTTTATCGACAGATATAATCCCTTGGCATATGACCTTTTCGGCGATTAATACAATTCACAGCCATATGGAAGTGCTTTTCATGGCTGGTTTTTGTAAGACAATTCGAAAGTGAACTCTAAAGAAATACACGCACTCATTGTATTTTTTTCAAAAGTATTACATTTAATAGATAAACATGGAATTTGTGTATTTGGTTCTGGTTCACTTCGTATCATCATACAGAAACAGGCCCTTAAATTTCAGATTTCTAAAAAAAATTTGGGAATTTATTCGATATTTACATATTTTAAATTCCACCATTTTGGAGAGAGGAATAAATACAAGCCATTGCAATTACCATTTTTCAGCTGTGATAAATTTTATAGCATAAATATTATAATTGTCGAATAACTTCGAATATCTTCTTTACCATACGTAGAGGGGTTTCCAAAATGTTTTGTGTTTCAGAAAGGTCAGTTCTTTTTTACCATATTTTCCCACATCTGCTATTTCCGTTAGAAATATAAAGATTTGCAATATTTTGGAAAATATTAAGTTGTTGTTTATATTTCTTCTTATGAACATTTGAGGTTTATATGGTGAATGCCCAACTATCATAGCTGTCAGTTTTATACGTTCGGGCACTTTTTTGTCTCACTTTTAAAACAAAAAAGTAGAAAGTAGGGATTGTGAATTTCGCCTAGTCTATTTCAATTTACCTGTGGTATTGTTAGACAAATTGATTTCGCAAATGTCGCAATGTCTATCGGTCGGACTCTGTAAATATACGAATGCAGCCTTTTTGATGAGTAAATTATATTTGAATACTGTAAAGTATTACAGGGTAATTGCTATTTATATTTGAAATTAAAATTTTTTATTCTATCACTTCGATGCATTAGTAAGAGAATAGACTATGAGATAAAAAAAAACTGCAACAGAGTCAAACGCCATATTTTTTTCTTTTTTTTAATTTTATTGACGTCGGAAATAGCATCAAATTTTAGAATAAGTTTAGATTTGTTCGAATTGGTTACCTTTGGTTCGAATTATGGCCTTCAAACGGTAAATGAAACCGTTACAAGCTGTCCGAATGTTGCTCTGCGGTATTTTGGTCCATTCCCGCCGAAGCGCTTGCTTGAGGTGGTCGACACTTTGGTATTTTTAATGCCAACCTTGCTTTTCAAGATACTCCAGACCCAATAGTCCAACAGATTGGTATCCGGATATTTTTGTCCAAGGTCTGCTGCCAAAATGTTTGTGTGCCCAAGGCTTTAATACACCCTCCAAAATATTTACGCGATAATATTCGGCATTTATTCTGATGCTACGGTCGATTAATACGAGCGGAGAGCGACCATCGGCTGTTATGACGGGCGGCCCACACCATCACCATGGCAGGCGGTTGAGTTCTGGTGCCCAACCGAAGGTGGACATTTTCAGCTGACCTCTTTGGCAAGTAAACACGATCATTTTGTTTGTTAAAAAACTGCTGGACAACGAATGTTTTTTCATCGGAGAAAACCAAATTCAGCAGTTCACCTCTTTCGGCCAAGCGAAGCAACTCTTTAGCTCCTTTGAGTCTATTTTCTTTCTGTTGCGGTGTAAGTTCTTGCACTTTTTGGAATTTCAATGGCTTTACCTCGAACTCATTTCATGTCGATTTTTTACTTTTCGAACCATTTCTGCTGATGTTGCTGTTTTCTTCCGCCCACTTCCTTGACGTCGGGCTACGCTACGCTGCCAGTACCACAGTAACGAGCGATGGTGCGAGACACAAACGATTTATTCACATTTAAATGCTGGAGTGCTCTAACCATAGCCACTTGTTGTTTTCAAGCCAAATATAGAGTTATCACCATATCCCGCTTGAATTCCATCACGAATAACTTATTTTCTGGAAAATCCTCAGCAAAATGCTTTTGTACGCTTGTAAACAATATAATGTGCTCTCACTGGAATAATTTTTCCAACTGTCGGACGAGTGGCTTAGAAATGACAGAAGTCTGGACTTGATTTCAGTTTTTTTTTATCTCACACTGTATATACACCGGGATGCTTCCACTGGCTATCATCGAATTTTGCCCTTTTTGCGGTATTCCAGGTCTGGTATTGCAAATGATCAGTAGATAGAAATATTTGCTATAAAAATTTTTCAAAATTTCTACATGTTTTTGCATAGACCTCACATTCCAGTATCGATCAACGCAATCACACAATAGTATTTATAATTACTACACATTTTGCATATCCTTATTTCTAATTCCGAATTTAAAACCCCTTCATTTGTTTGCCATGAAATCATTAGATTTCTATATTCTTAAAGTAGAGATTCGCACTATATTTAATATAGGCGCTCAAGTTTCTCAAACGCAATCGAACATTTAATGGTTTCAACAAACAAACAAATATTGTTTTCAGTTTGTATTCGGTGTAACATTAATTAAAAAAAGAAAATGAAAAAGTCTATCTCTTAGAACAGAGTGGTATCCTGTACAATATAATTACTGGTTTTTCCCTCAACATATTTTGTTTTCCATTGAATTGTTGTTTTCGTTGATATATATAAGTCTTCTTATATACTTAAAAGAAAAGTAAAATTAACAAAATACCAGAGCACAATTCAACGCACTCATTCAATGCACGTTGGCCTAGAAATTAATTAAAAACAACAACAACACATAAATATAGATATAATATTTTGTAATTTTTTATTACTTTAATTCTTAGTATTGTAATTGAACGGATGATAAGCCAATTATGTGTAGCATATTTGTCAAGATAAATGTTTACAAAACACACAAAAAAAAAAACGATAAAACAAATGACATAATAATTTGTATGTATTTTTTAAGAAAGAAAAGGATGAATTTTTATTTATTAAAAAAAAACAAGAAAAAAGAAGCGAAGAGAAAACAAACCGTATTAAGAAATATAAAGGGCCTTTTTATATTATGCCTACCATACAAAAAGAAAAAATCTGTATTTTTTATTGCTCCTCATGCAGCAGGCATTTGGAAGCTAGTTGATTCAAGGTATGTATGTTTATAAATTTAATATGGTATTAAATCGAATTCCCTTGTGGTAGGTAAGGTATCAAATAGTTTAATTTCTCAATAAACTCCAATAGCAGTGGGCAAAAACAATGGTTCTTTATCATTGCCATTTGATGGCAATAGTCATTGCAAACGCCGTTTGTTTTGTTTCTTTCATTTTTGTTTATTAATAAAAAGAAACTTATTGCAGCAATAACAAAATTATAGATAAATTTATAAATAAAATTGATAGGCGCATTAAACAAATGCGCTGAACTTTCTCAATCATTTACCCTTATCTTGATTGGAAGAAAAATTTTGTTTATCAATTCTTCTCCAATCTATGATGATAATGATCATATTCGAAAATTAATTTTACTTTCTTTACTATGTGCGTAGTTTGTATTAAATATATTTAACTAATTTTAAAGATGAAGTCATAACCATGCACAGTGGATGGTCTAATTTATAATTTTTTGCAAAGGACATTTCATATTCTTTTGAGTAAATATCTTCGGAGAAAATCGTCCTATGAACAATCGAAAACGTATGCCATCACTTAGTAATATTTTTATGGGGTATGGCTGGATATGTGTCGATTTTTAAAAATGTCTTTTTCTAATCAGTGCTGATTATTATATCAATAAAAATGTTCCAAAATATGTGCATAATTTTATAAACTTTTTAAAAATAACAGACTGGAGCCCTAAGATTTCAAAAGAAAAAATTTAATAAAGTACAACGGTCTATGGGCAATTACTTAGAATTAGAAATGAGTACAGACATTCCACTTTTCAATCATATTTAATTATTATACCCTTAAACGTCATTTGGGCTATTTGAAATACTTCGAAATATCGGTCCTAGACGTACGATGTTACATATCAATCTTGCCATCTCACTGAGCTAAGTCAGTCTAGCTATGTGTGGCTGTCCTTTCGTTCGATACTCGCGAGACTTTGCATGGAGTTAGAGTTAGGTTCAGAATAGAAGTACAGGGTGAGATGAAAAAACCACTCGTCCGATAGCTGTTAAAATTATTCCAGTGACAGCTCATTATATTGTTTACAAGCGTACAAAAGCATTTTAGTGAGAATTTAAAAAAAAAGTTATTCGTTATTCCGAAAGTGGTGAACTGCCGAATTTGGTTTTCTCCGATGAGAAAACATTCGTTGTCCAGCAGTTTGTAAACAAACAAACCGATCGTGTTTACATGCCAAAGAGGTCAGCTGAAAATGTGCACCTTCGGTTGGCCACCAGAACTCAAGCGGTCGCTCGACGCTCGTATTAATCGACCGTGGCATCAGAATAAATGACGAATATAAATATTCTCCTCTCCTCTTGCCGACCCTTGACCTAGACGTGCTCGATGTACTTAATATACTTAAATTTAAATCTGAACAAAATTTCCAGGTCCAAGGTTACTTGAGGTATTCATTAGAAAAAAAGTTAATGCTAGGTTTTCCGGATTTGTGAATCAAGGTCATCGTTACCTCTTTCCACAAGCGGGATACGAGGCACTACCTTGGACAAGCCTTAAATATCTCCTGCAATGTGACTGACACCGACTTAGATACATTTTGCAACATTGACGATATAATGCCATCAGGATCAAGAGACTTGAAGGTGTGACCGGTGTTGATCGACCTTTAAATCTTTGGGGTAGTAGTTTGTTTCCCATTCCATAAGACTCACATCTTCCGCTGGGCCATGTAGGAGACGATTGCTGATGTGTCTGATAGAAGGTCAAGAGTATATGGACCAGATTTGTTCCATGTACCATCACCTCGCTTTATACTGCCTATTGACTTGGGGTGCTTAGACAGTATTCGACGAAATCTGGCAGCAATATCCACTCCTTCTATAGACTCAAAAGATGATTTTTCAAGGCAATACCAGATAATTTTTATAATTTTAAAGCACTCAATCAGCAGCGGCAAGACGTAATTAATTATCGGTCGAATTGAGTTTATGAGCCTCAAGACCGAATAAGGGGTGGTGACGTCTATGGAATATCCATAGGAGTGGACTTCCATAGATACCGAATTTGAGTAATTTCAATCCTTTCAACTTTTGGGGTTGGTTCAGAAAACAACAGCAGAGATCGTAACAAATTTAAACGTTTTGCAATAATAACCAATTAAAATGTATGTGTATATATTTTTTATTAACTATTTATGTTTCCATTAATATGTTTATATTAATAAGAAAAATTAAAACAATTTGTATATAATATTGATCAAACCATCATCATGTTGTTGTATTGTATGTAGCAAAACCCAGTCAGATTTTTGTGAGAGAATTATTGACTGAAACTAAATTAAAACCAAACAAAAAACACAGTTCTTAACACAACAAAATTTTACATACAATTTTCTTCTTTGCTGTCGCACATTTACTGGTAGGATGGTTCACAATGGAATTTCTATCGAAAACAATTATATCTAAATAGATAAAAATGGAGAATCGTATATAATTCTGAATAATATATAACTAGTCTACTAATTATTTATTTTTGTTAAGTGTAGAGATAATGCATTAAACCTTTTCAAGGTTTTTCATTTCGTTTTGTTTTTTGTTTGTAATTGAATATCTAAAAGTATTTTGTTGCTGGTGGTTTTTATTTCAGGGAAGATGATATTGGTGATTTTTGTGTTTATGCATACCATCAGGGTGCTATTAGAACGCATAACATCATAATAGTTAAATAGAATATAGTAAAAAATACAATACGCAGACATTTACAGCGAATTTGTATGTCATTCAACGTTAGATGAAACACTGCAAATGATGTATTAATACGCCCGACCAACGCCGCCTCTGGGAACGTTGCTACCGTATTTCATTCGCTGACATTGCCACCGCTATGGCCGCGTAACTGCCCCGAAGAATGCGAGCCCGGTTGCTGTTGCTGGTGCGGCGCATGTTGTGATGACAATGTCGATGTTGACGCCGACGAATTGCCTGTTGACGATGACGATGCCGGCTGTTGTTGCTGCAGAGATTGATTTAGCAGGGCCAAATTGCTGGCTTTCATACGCGCTATAGTGTTGTTGTGTGCCATGCCTGCCAAAGCTGAGAAACATGGTGACATACAAGGCGTTGAGCAGAGGCTATTACTGATCTCACATTGGTCAAGTAGGCGGAGTAGCTCGTTGGTGTCGGGTCCGCCGTTGATTTTCTGCTTCTGGTGGTGGTTTTCATCCTTTTTGAAAAACAAAGCTAGCGCCGTAGTGAGATCCCACATTTGTATGTTGCCATTACAGTGACCCGTCAGTATGAAACGAGATCCCATGCGTGAGGATACCTCACATTCGTGTACGCAAAACGAAGTAATTGATGAGCCGTCAACAGATTTTATAACACAAACCCGTTCACCATTCGAAGCCAATCGAACATACAATTGATCCGTTTCCGGTACAACCTTTTGCACAAAGATCTGTTCATCATAGTCACCATATGGTCCGAAATCATTGCCCGCAACATAACTATAATTGGTTTCGGTAGCATCGAGTGATACAATTTTAAATGAGGCCTCCGGAGTAGATCCCGGCTGCGTCGATAACATACCACGAAATCTTGTCAGACTCCATGTACGTACATGATGGTATTCACTGCATACTGAAACCAAATACTTTTCGGAAAGCATTACTTTGGTGACCGGACTCTGGTGCACTGTAAACGTCTCGAATAGATGTGGTCCATGTCCAGCTGTTTCTGGATGCTGTACAATAATGCGAACCGCACCACTTTTAGTACCGTAAGCAATTTCAATCCAATTGCCGCTAATACCTAGAATACAAAGATAATGAAAAGTTATCTTTATATAACATCATGTAGGTTTATGTTATATGATTTGCTGCGAATTTATTATTTCACTCGAAGGCAAGCCGTGCATTGTGTTCGTTTAGGGCAGAAGGGTCGGGTTTTCTTATCCATTGAAAATGTGTTTAAGGCTCCTGGATTATTTAACCAAGGTCAGAGATTTCATAATACATATACGGGAAAGCGCAATCACTAGATTTTTGTGAATTCATATTTATGTAATTCAACCTCCAGAACAGTCCGGATCCCATTTTTAGTAAAATAGATTTTATACGAAATTCATCCCTTTAACTTCCTCGTAGTGGAACTTGTGGCATATTTCGGCGAAATTAAGAAAACGGCGGCTTAACGCAATTCTTCTCCATTAAAACAGAAGATGAAAAGTCCCGTCTTGGCTGCGATTTTCTTAGATATATAAGATTGATTGATAGGCCCTACACCCATCATTCCTCTCCAGAATGATAATATCAGCTGTTGGGAGCCATAGAGAGTGATCAGTTTGCCCCCTCTTCTTCTAAATGTTAACATTTTTCTTGACTTGTGATACCCTGAACGGCTTAAATTATTTAGTAACTATATTTTACTTACTTGATGTTTTTGGTGTTAAATATACTGATATGGCTGTGATTGGATCCAAATTTGGGTCTTTATACAATTCTGTTACCAATAGGTCATTATCTTTCATGCGCAAGGGGAATTTTTGCATATCTAACAGAAAAGGGTACAAATTTTATTAATATATTTTTATTTAAATGATGCATAACTCACCAATATAATATATAGAACCATTATTGCAACCCAACAAAAGAAATGAACCAGCTGAATCGAACGATAAAACCGGTACTAAATCTTGTATTTGCCAGTGTTGAGTCATGGCATGCCAAACGCCAATCTTGCCAGAAGAAGACGAAGACAAAGCCACTAGTTGACTGCCAATGAAAAATAAATGTTCAACTCTCACATTTAAGTTGAATGTTCCAATATCGGTTTTATCACCACCCTCTTGGATGCTCCACAAACGTATTTGACTGCCGTATGAAATGGCAACCATTTTACTAGGTATTGCCTCTCCGGTGGACATATTAACTTTGGAATTTATGGCAATACGTTCAATTGTGGAATCGATATAGGGTGAGGTGAAGACCAATTGCCAACCATTAGAATCTTTGACCCGATAGCAGGCCACAAAATGAGCATAGGCCACGGCAAACCAGTTTTGATGGGCCTTGATAATTTGCACCCGAAGTGGATCGACCCAATTCGAGGTAAGAGTTGGCGAAAACACCAAACCCACATCATTGCGTATCAGTTTGTTCAAATCAGCTGAAGAGTTTCGAGAATGACGCATAAAATCTAATGAAGGATTTCGAGAGTGTTCACCACGTGTTGTAGAAGGCCAGCAGCGATTTTCGGGTGCTGTCGAGTTACCACGACCTACTCGCAAATCCCATGATGAATTGCGTGAATGAGAAGAATGACGATTCGAGACAACGTTTGTAGGTTCCGGTACACGTACCATGGAACCGGGTCTGGCATTGCCACTTGTGGATGAAGCTGCTGCAGCAGATGTCGATGGCAGACATGGTTCCAATGGGATTGGTGCAGCTGCTGCTGCTGACGCAGCGGTAGTAGTATTACTTCGAGAAGAATTTACCGGTTCCTGGTTCGGAAGGCCTGTTGCTGTTGATGAAATTGTATTTGTAGCCGGAACATTCTGCTGCTGATTAATTATTATGTTATCGTTTGGTGGTATAGGTGGTGCTGGCAAGAATCCATAAAACAATACATCCCCACACGAGGAATGATTTAAGTCTTCACACAAAGCCAAACGCTTTACTAGTGGTGTCAAACCATAGTATTCCGTTTCATGCCTCAATGCTCGTATTTCACAATTTTTCACATCAATTTCCTTGGTGCGCAAATAGTTTAGAATGATGGAAAACAAAGCTGGGTCACGATCAATAAAAATTGCCCCTGTTTCATCTTTTAAACTTGAAATGCGACCACTTAATAAAGCCGTAAAGAAAGTATCGGGTATCCATGTTAATGTTTGTCTTGAAGTTGAGAATCTGAAATTAAAAAGTGAATGATGCTTAGTGATCCTGGAGCAAACCTCATATTTTCCAGAAAAATAATGAGCTGTAAATGTTGGTCACTTTGGTTAAATCCCAAAATGTGGCCAAAAATTCGTTTAAAAATCTAGATATTTACATGGAAGTTAATGAAAAGATTGGGACAAATCGAAGGAAGCAATTCCTCAATTTAAGACTTTAATTTTAATTTAATTTAGATTTCATTTTTGCATTTTTCTTCGTTAAAGGGTATCTGGATCTATATTTTCCCTTTTTAGTTCAAATATAATTCGGATTGAAATGTTTTAAAAAATAATAGACCCTAATGGTCCATCTTCGAACTAAATTAATGTTTGACAAAAATTCTTATTAACTTAATTTTGACTAAAGGTCAATTGAAAACATCAGTGTTTTATTTTTATAATTTTAATTTTTTTAATTTTTTATTTTCCGACTTTTTCGACTGTCTTTGACAGTCAAATATTACAATGTGGTTGACAGACACCGATATAGTATCTAGCATCCAAAGATTATTATCAAACTTGATATAATTTATCAAAGCTCCATGAGCTCTCAACAAATTGAAAAACGGAAACGGCAATATTGGCCCATTCCTTCGGAAACTACTCTATAGAGGGTCAACAATTTGAATAGTCCAGTCAGAAGTCCTAAAATATTTTAATAATCGCACTTGGGATGAGGGTATACATCTGTCGGCAAATCCGACTGATACTTTATAACTTATTTTACTTCATTTTACATTCCAAACAACATCACGCATCATCACAAAGCACAAATGAACATTTGATTATTCTTAAAATTACAAGCTCAACATACAACTTGTTGGCGACTCTAAGAAATGTGATATGTACTTGTTTTCGAAATGAAGAATGATACAATAACATGCCACGCATCATAATAACAACACAACAAGACAAGTGGTACGTCCCAACAGAATTTGTTGAACAGAGCTTGACTAACCTGATATCAAAGTAAGCGGAAATATGAATCTATATTCAAGACTCTTCGCAAAACTAATCATGTATATTTTTACATTGACTGATGTGTATATATTTTTGCATCCATTCATATTTGTATTTAAAACTATCACCCAAACGTTTCATTCATAACCCATTAAACTATTATTTGCTTGTGGTGGCATCCGTCTTGGTCGTCGCGGTAAAACAATAACATTCCCTGCGTAGATAAGCCGTATAAAGACAAAACAACGATTGTTGTTGTGACCCCGAAAAAAAAACAACAAACTATGAAAAACAAATGATTCAGTACATCTGATGGAATGTAGTAACAACATTCAACAGTACTCTGCTGCTTGCTATGTATACACAAATATCATTTGACACACAAATTCTGCCAGATGATGGAAATTTTCTGCACAATCCATTTCTTTTAACAGCAGATTACACTGATCCATCCGAAATAGTTTCAACTCACCTCTGACCCCCTACATTGAGATTAACCAAATCACCACTATGAGCAAAGTAGGACATGTCTTGCACAATCCAATTCCTACTACAACGACCCACTAATATTTGTTGGCTTCTTAGTGGGGTCTACTCCCTTAGTGGTGATTATTTTTGTCTTTTTTCACAATTCTTTCAATATTTCTCGTTTGTCACTTGACGACGTGTACACAAATGGATGTCACTCTTTTATTTGTGTCTTATTCAAGTGCCAATACACAAATGAGATGTGTTTTTAAACAAATTTATTGACAATTATGACGTTGTTGCATTTTTTCTAGAGAATTATCGAATATATCGATTTTCCCACTAAACGATTATGTTGATTGCGATTGAAAGTTTATAAAACAAAATCAGTGAAAATGATAACACAGTTTTCTACTAATCAGCTGATTCACATGAAGTACACCATGTTCTCACTGGCCCTTGAAGTACTTTTTTCGGTCTGACAAATATGTACACAAATTAACGTATTAATAATGATAAGCAAAGCAGAAATAACCAACGTAAACTCCTGCAAACATATGATATAGAATTTCTCTATACAAACTACGTAAATATGTCAGGCCACTTTATTTTCTAGTTTGGGAATTGATTTTGAAATTTTTTAAAAATGATATGACCTATTCCAAATGCTTCCAAAATTTGCTATTTTTATATCATAAAAGAAAAGGTTTACATTCTTGCAGACGTGGAATTACTTATTACCAATGACACCACACTTTTCATTTGTTCTAAACAATTTTATAATTTGTATATACATTCAAAATAGGCGGAAGGTGAATATCCTAGAAATCATTCTTTAGTTTTTTTTTCAGATTTTTTTTTTTTTGTATTTTCCAGTAACTGCTAGAATCTACTATTTTTTACAATTTCCTGCGATATCATGAAGAGGAAATCGGTTGTCGTAGTAAAAACTTAAACTTTCTAGCAGTTCTGGAACAAAACAATAGTTTCTGGCTTTATAGGCAAATAGGAAACCGTGCCCAGGCCCGCTCCCACTCGAAGGCGAGTGATTATCACTCTTTGTACAAATTCGAGCGAGTGTAAAGAACTTTAATCACTTTTGCGACCAAAAATCATTTGTATCACTGCCTTGCGTAAACAAGAGGTATAGCTATATAATTATTTTTAAAAAAATCTACAGTTCTTGCTTTTCACCCTTCTCTTCAAAATAATAGCATTTCATTTTTAGCTTGCTTTATTCATTTATCGATACCACCAGCGTATTTCTCCAACAATTCTTGTTTACGTTTTTTGAGTAAAGCTTCTTCTACATCCTTTTGTGTTGGTACTGGAACATGTGCGGTAAACTTCGGAGCTAATAACTCCATAGGATTTTCCTCCTTATCTAATGGTTGTTCAGAATTTTTCGCATCTTCAGCAGCTTCTCGTGCAGGTATTGATAATGGATAAATATCATCATCACCGTCATCATCATCTAAATCGATTCGACCATCTCGAGCCATTTTCTCCTTCCATTCTCGTACAGCACTTTGGACGGCTATTTGTTCGATACGTTCCTCCAGTGGTATCAAAATGCCATCGTCGTCGTCACGGTAGCCATAGTATTCGGCATCGACATCTTTCATTAATTCAGCACGTGTCTTACGCGGTGGTGGTGGAGGTTCTTGTTCAAATAGTTCTCTTACTCCCGGCAAATCTTTGGCTGCACCAAAATATTTATAGCCACGATTTCCAGGCACTTCTCGGCCTTCAGCATCAAACATTTTTGGGCCATATCTGCGATAATGTGGTCCACCCAATGCTGATATTTGATTTTCCCAATGTCGTTTTTCTCTTAGCAATTTGTTGATTTCGTCATTTAAGTCACGTATTCGGAATTCACCAAGACCGGCTAAACATATATATGAAACGATAAATGTATGTTGAATTGCACATAAAGCAACGCTTACCGTTTTGTATTTGTGCCACTTTGTTCGAGATTTCTCGAATAATTTCCAAGCGATACTTTTCACATTTCGGTAAATCTTGACATTCCGATGCCAAGTATGGCCGTCTATCCTTTTCCCCGGATTCAATCTCCTTAGCGGCACGCCACCGTGCCAGCGTGGTCCTGCATGTTGGGAATGTTTAAACATGTTAACTGTTTTAGAATGTATAACGTTAAACTTACATAGCCTTTTCAGCATTTCGCGCCTGTCGACGAGAAAACAATTATGCATAAGAATAACATTTATTTAAATTATACAAATATTTACCATATTCCAAAGTATTTAATCAGACAATAAAAAACAAAACGTTTGTTTACTATAAAACGATAGAAATAAAAAATCGATTACAATATTCTTGCACTATCGGGTTTTGGCGGTATTGTGTTCCCGTTATTATTTTAACCCATATTTGTGCCATGTTCTTACGGCATTTAACAAATGTTTTAATTTCCCAGAAATATATGAAAACACACGATACGATTGTTTAAATATTTACAGTTATGCTATGTTTACGTTAGAAATGTTTGCAGGGTTAACCTATTTCAAGAGGATTTATTTGAAGTATAAGTAATAAATATGACAATTTTAATCCAAATCCAGTGGGTTAACCCATTAATTAAAGTAAAGTCATTTCAAATAAGCATATCCATTTTAAATGATATCCAAGATCAAATGATTTGTCTATATATAAAGAATTTGTAAATACATATTTTGACAATGAGATGTTTTCAAATGAATAATTTTCGGAAAAATTGTAAACACATGATTGCATGACTTTACCAAATGATAAGGTCCTTAACATACAATAATCTTAAACTTTGGGAACGTGTTCCTTTACATATACACACTGTTGCACTGTTACAGAACTTGCAAAAACTACTAGTTTAGTAATTGTTCAATATCATAATAGAAAATTCGGTTTGGTATACATAGGCAGCTTGGCATTGTTGCTTGTTACAGAACCTGATAGAATATACCAGTTTTGTTTTGGAAATATCGATTATTGTAGTAAAAATTGAGATTAGAGCTACCAGGTGATTACAATTTTTTTCTAAGTGTGCCCGACTTCTGTCAATTTTGTGTATGTATCTATTGTTTTGAAAAATGAAAACAAAATATTTTCAGAACCAATTGTTGGAAGATACATTAAAGCCATTGATCTGTTTAGCCATGAAATTGAAAGATTAAACAGCTCGGATTATATTTTTGAGAGAAAATCCATTTTTTGCGCTCTTTAACTCATTTTAAAAATGAGGAGAAATACGAACACAACTTGATGTATATAATTTTGAATGAGTGTGACAGGAAAGGGGTATAGACACAGGGCTGTATTTCTGTAGTTTTAGGAGGTTGTTCTACCTTCTTATTGCACCATGCAACTTCCTATAAAAATCAACAACGGGTTAATTCGTGTACCTAATTTTGAGAGCGAACAACGTGATTGAAATTTCAATGAGAACATAGCATAACAACAATCGACTATGTATAGTCGAGTACTCGGTTTTCACCCAAGTCCATAGTCGAGTTCATGTTTCAGAACTTTAAGTCGATTATTCGATTAATCGAAAGTCGACTTACCTATCCCTAGTGTATGTTTACAAGTGGATGTAGATTGTTTACGTTTCATACTGATTGATTTGATTTTATGATATTGATCCAAAATCGGCGTTTTTCTTATCCTATGTGATAGTGCACACATTTGGTGTCACATCTCAAGTAGATCTTGAGTCGTTCAGATCGCTGCCGCTTCGACGCTTCATACATTTTGAGAATAAAAATAATACAAGCATTTTTCCAATAGATTGAAAAGCAGTGAAAATGCATGAACTATCCGCTGGTGTTTTGCCGGTAAGTAATGATCGTGAATATAAACAGAGTTTTCAGAACATATCTAATAATTATTCCACATATTAAATATTTCTAATTTTATTCCTAATTAATTTTTTTTAGCGTATGAAGTCTGGCGAATACATAGATAGTCCTGTCCTTCAATTACTGACCAGTAAAAGCCATGCATCCGGTCCTGATAAACGCATCTGTCTACTTCTTTCGGATGGGGTATATTTCGACAAAGATGTGAAGTTGACCGCAGACTTGAATAACATATATGATGTGGGAAAATTATCCAATTTCAGTGTTCTTAGAGTGGACGAATACAAAATAGCGGACAAGTAAGTAGCAAAAGTAGAGTTTTTCAGTGTAAAACATAAACCCAATAGATAATACACAAATCTGAAGCCGAAATCTTGCAGTCGATATTGAAAAAATTCGATCGAAATGAATTGGTCTGTGCTCATTTTAGATCAAATTGCGGTAGAAATAACTATTGATTAAAACTAACAGTTGGTTTACATATAAATGGTAATTGGTTTAAAATAGCCATATCCTCTTAAATCCTTCTCTTAAAGTAGGTTAACCCTACAAAAAGTTTTAACATAAGCATGACATAATTTACAATATTTACCGGAAATTCTCTCGATATTCAAGGAAAGAATTTGGCCCCCGCTCCATTAAAATAACATAATGTTGCCATGGCCTCTACCAATAAGGCAAAAAAAGATTAATGGAAATGTAGTATGGAATATTGTTCCTGTTCCAGTATTAAGTGTTCCAACGAGGCAACCTCAAATATCCAGAATTTCCAATTTATTAAATTATCTTCAAAGGAGTTTTTAAATGTGATGTATATTACATTATATTCTATCCGCTGACAGCCAAATTACAACCAATTTTCATTGGGACATTTGTCTATCGATTACTATTCAAGCCGACGTTTTATTCAAAGTGGAAAATTGCATTTGTTTTTCCCATCAATTCTGAAAAATGTAGTTAGTTACCTGTGTTTTTTTAATATTTGATATTTATAAGAAATGTAGGTGCCTACAAACTTATCAAAGATAAACATGAAAATGTAAAACAAAATGTCGTTTTATGCTGTACTACACAGTTAAGTGCACAACATAAACTAAAATGTAAATATTTAACCTGAGATGTGTTTGTGCAATAAACCGGACATCATACAAAATAACACAAAAGTACAGTGCACAATAATATACAGCAAATGTCATGGGTTCATAAATGCAATATTTTTGTGGACAACAGTTTGTGTTCATAATTACTTCTGTAGTGTTTCAGTTGTGCTGCGATGTTCATTATGTAGCACATACATATGTGTGTAATTAGGTTTCGGAGAAAAACAAATACTAGTATCATGTATTCATGACGGAATAATGATGCCCATCACAAAAATATATTTCAGTTTATTTATGATTATTGTATATGTATAAGCAAGACTATTATAAGATAAAGAATTTTGGAAACACTCTAAAACAGAACCATGAAACATGGCGCGCTTTTAAAAATTTGAATCTTTGAATTACATAAATAATCACAAATTACAAACATTACATTGACGCACGTCGAACGGAACCATAAAAATTGTTAAGCCTTAAGGTCATGGTTTATCAGCAGGTCACGCAGAATAGCCTGATGAGTGATTTCGAAATACTTTTTGATACTTTTGATTTGATAAAAAAAGTGAAAGCGGATTCTGTGCGACATCAAGAGTGTTTTTGATTTTTGAAATGAAATCAGAAAATGTTTGAATTTATTTTTGGAACAATAGGTAGCATTTTCATTAAATTCTTCTATTCAAACCACGTTTCAGATTAATAAAAAAAGAATTTTGTTACATCAAAATTGATTTCATGCTCAGTTTTTAGTTTCATTATTGCTTTAGATCTCTTAAATTTTTACACTACATAACTTTTCGAATTTGTTTCAAAATCATTCCCGATTTTTATTTCCCAGGAATATGCTGATTATTTGTAAAATGACAATTCTTACCCCTGGGCAAGAAACAAATGGAAAAATTGGCGAACCTATTGATTGCAACAATGCCTTGACTTTAATTGCTTCCACAAATGTCGAACCAGATCACACTGCTGCTTTAACAAGTGGTGCCCTCTTGGTTAGTATTGCTGAAATGCCTTAACATGTAAGTTCACTGTGACCCAATCTACTTGTCTTTTTTTTATTTTTCTTTAGAGTATGATGTCTGGTAAAAACATAACTAGACCCGTTCTTCAAATACTGGATTCGAAACTTATATGCGATGGGCGTGATGAGCGTATCCGTTTATCAGTTTCGGATGGTAGATTTTTCCATACTTATACTTGGTTAAGCTCGACATTGAAAAACATGTACCATGAGGGAATATTATCGGATTTCTGCATTGTTAGCTTGGACGAATACTTAATAACAAGTGCCGGTACGATAACAAACCGTAGGTAAGTATTGTTGAAATTTGATTTTTATTTTATAATGGGTTATTCCTATTTAAAGTAGTTTTGAAAAACGTATTTTTGTGCACTGCTGCAAAAATATTTTTAACTCTGACTTACGTCTTAAGTCTAAGGTTTAAGTATCATGCCTAGTTCCATATGTTCTGTTCGCTGTTTTAAGCGATATGTGATTTTTACAGAAACAGAAATGGCCATTACGCATATAAACATTGATGAGAAACCACATCTACATCGAATATTCCTTTCCTACCATCCAGGCATAAAGAAGAGCTTACGAACTTGACTACATCGACTCCAAATGTCATAAATATTTAAATATTTCGTCCATACAGGGTGAGATAAAAAACTGCAACAAAATCAAACGCCATAATTTTTAAATATTATTGAATGAAAGCTATAAATGTCGGAAATAAAATCAAATTTAAGAATAAGTTTAGATTTGGAACCGTCCCACACTGCCCGAATGTTGCTCTGCGGTATTTTGGCTAATTCCCGGCGAAGCGCTTGCTTGAAGTGATCGACACTTTGGTATTTTTTAGTGCCAACCTTGCTTTCGAAAATACTCCAGACACAATAGTCCAACGGATTGATATCCGGAGATTTTGGGGGCCATTGTGCGCTGAAAATGAAGTGAGGAACCTCATTTTGTAACCATTCTTGGGTGGCACGTGCTGAGTGCTGCTGGAATGTGCAAGGTCTACGAACGAAATGTTCGTGTGCCCAAGGTTTTAATACACCCTCCAGAATATTATCGCGACACTATTCGACATTTATTCTGATGCCACGTTCGATTAATACGAGCGGAGGTCGACCATCGGCTGTTATGGCGGGCGGCCCACACCATCACCATGGCCGGCGATTGAGTTCTGGTGGCCAACCGAAGGTGCACATTTGGCAAGTAAACACTATCATTTTGTTTATTTACAAACAGCTGGAAAACGAATATTTTCTCATCGGAGAAAACCAAATTCGGCAGTTCACCACTTTCGGCCAAGCAAAGCAACTCTCTTTTGAGTCTATTTTCTTTCTGTTGCGGTGTTAGTTCTTGCACTTTTTGGAATTTAAATGGCTTTCCCCGTGCACATTTTTCAATATTTGCCGAATGAAATATTGAGATATGTACAGCTCACGAGCCTCTTTTCGGCCACTGCGTGGGTTTCCATCAAGTCGCATAGTAGGTGTCTAATCGCTATGGCAGTAAGCACTCTTAGATTAGACGTACTAAGACGTAAAATGTATTTTACTCTTATTCTCGATATTAACGAATAGATGGCTTTGCAACTGGTTTCCAAGTTTCATCTTCTTCGAACTTCTTTGATTAAAGACTTTTTGAAGCAGCAGTCTCATCAATCGGAGTCTCCCATCTCGAGCTAATTCATCAGCTACCACCACTATTTTGTTATATCTTGCAACCCAAAAAACTTAATGACTACGTATTTCAAGGAGGATTTTCTTTATTTATAGGGAGACTCTTATAATTTTAAAAATGAGTCTTCTTGTACCTGGAGACCAAGTGAAGGTGAAAATTGGCGAACCTGTAGTTTTGGAACCATCTGTTACCACACGTGTCATATCTACCATTCCTACGCTGACAACTGGTGCTTTACCGGTAAGTACTTCTCAGACACTTCAACCAAATATGTATAAACTATAAATATTATTTAGTTTAGTTTATTTCATACAAGTAATGCAAGAAGCCGTATTTAGCCGAAAATATACATTTATTGGACATATCTAATGATATCCACATATCTAATTTTTCTAAATTTATCCACGACTTACACCAAATTGTGTGAATTACAACCCGAATACTAACTAATTTTACTTTTTTTTAGCGTATGAAATCTGGCGAATACCTAGATAGTCCTGTACTTCAATTACTGACCAGTAAAAGCTATGGATCCGGTCCTGATAAACGCATCCGTCTATTTCTTTCGGATGGTGCTTATTTCGACAAAGATGCGAAGTTGGCCACAGACTTGATTAACATATATGATGTGGGAAAATTATCCAATTTCAGCATTCTTAGAGTGGACGAATACAAAATAGCGGACAAGTAAGTAGCAAAAATAGAGTTTTTCAGTGTAAAACATAAACCCAATATATAAGACAAATCTGAGGTCGAAATCTTGCATTCGATATTGAAAAAATTCGTTCGAAATGAATTTTTCTGTGCTCATTTTAGATCAATAAAAAGTAAATTTTGGTAGAAATATCTATTGATTAAAACTAACAGTTCATTTACGTATAAATGGGTTAACCCACGACATTTGGATTAAAATAGCCATATCCATTATTTATACTTCAAATAAATCCTCTTAAAGTAGGTTAACCCTACAAAAAGTTTTAACAAAAACATGACATAAGATACAATATTTAGCGGACATTTTTTTCGATATTCAAGGAAAGAATTCGGTCTCCGTTCTATTAAAATAACATAATGTTTCCATGGCCTCTACCAATAAGGCAACAACATTTATGGAAATTTAGTATGGAATATTGTTCCTGTTCCAGTATTGAGTGTTCCAACGAGGCAAGCCCAAATATCAAGTATTTCCAATTGATTAAATGATCTTCAAATTTTGATATTTGGGACTATTTTTAAATGTGATGTATATTACATTATATTCTATCCGTTGACAGCCAAATTACAACCAATTTTGATAGGGACATCTTTGTCTATCGATTACTATTCAAATCGGCTTTCTGAAAAATGTGTGTTTTTTTTAATATTTATTTATTATTATTTTTAATATTTATTTCTATAGAATATGTAGGTGCCTTCAAACGTATCAAAGATAAAAATGAAAATGTAAAACAAAATGTCGGTTTATGCTGTACTACTCAGTTCAGTGCACAACCATGGTAGAAAAATATTGATAACAGCAAGTGTTGTTGTGCAACAATCGCAACAAGAACCACATACCAATTTGTTTTTGTACGTAATACAAGTGTCAGAGTTATGTGTCCAAAAATTTAAACAAAATAATTAATTTTTAATAAATTATTTAAATTTAAAAAATATACATTTTTGGAATTTGAATTATTAATTTGAAAATGCAGAAGAATAGTTCTTAAAATATTTAATTTTAATGCTTTCACATCAGCTGTTGGTCCTAATGTCTCAACATTTCAAGCAATCGCTAGAAAATCGTGGAAAAAGCAACATCACTTTCAAATTGAAGGCAAACTGCATACATAAAGTATTCTACATTTTGCAATTTTGGGAAACATGAAATATACGTATATATTATCTAACGCGGAGTCGCATTTCCTTAACCGCAAAAAAGTTTAGGAATCATCGCGTTTTGTTTTGTTTAGTACAACAACGATTTTTTCTATTATTAGGCCAAAACTATGTTCACACTGCCGTGGAGTGAAATTTTATATCAAACAAGGGTATACCCATGGTAAAATTAAGAATGTAAAGTCATTTCAAATAAGCATTCCAATCTTTGTATTTTCTGTAATTTACCTTTTCAAATTTTACTGCATAGAAAGTAGGTTACCATCTCCGATTTGTGTATGTACAATGGGTTTATAAATAAATATTTTGACATTGTCAAATAAAAAATTGTTATAAAAATTGTAAACATATGATTGCATGACTTTACCTTCTTAATTCTAACATGGGAATTAAATCATAAAACGTCATATCGAGTTTGACACTAGTATTACTATAGAGTCAAATCAGCTGGAACTTGCTGTTACCTGTAATAATTATATCATGGCGCACAACATAAATTAAAATGTAATTATTTAACCTGAGATGTTTTTGTGTTATTAACCGGACATGATATAAAATAACACAAAAGTACAGTGCACAATTATATACAACAAATGTCATGGGTTCATAAATGCAATATTTTTATGGACAACAGTTTGTGTTCATTATGTAGCACATACAAATGTGTGTAATTAGCTTTCGAAGAAAAGCAAATACATACATACAAAATGACGGAATTGTGATGCCCAATTAAAAAATATTTTTCGGGTTATTTATGATTATTGTATATGTATACAAAATTCTTGGGAACACTCTAAAACAGATTTATGAAACATGGCTCGCTTTATTTCAAGGCAATAAATTATGTTATAGGAATAAGTTATTCCATGCGCTAAACATTTAAAAAATTTAAATGTTTGAAAACTAAAAATAATCACAAATTACAAACATTATATTGACACAAGTCGGACAGAAACATAAAAATGTTTAAGCCTATGGTCTTTCAGCAGGTCACGCAGAATGGCCTAATGAGTGATTTCGAAATACTTTTTGATACTTTTGATTTGATATAAAACTGAAACGGTACGAATTCTGTGCGACATCAAGAGTTTTTTCTCTTGATTTTCTGAATGTAGAGAGAAAATGTTTGTATTTATTCTTGGAAAAATTGGTATCATTAAAAAATGAAGAATTTTGTGACGTCAAAATTATTTTCATGCTCAGTTTTTAGTTTCATTATTGTTTTAGATCTGCTAAATTTTTACACTATGTAACCCGATTTTTAATTCCAGGAATATGCTAATTATTTGTAAAATGACAATTCTTACCCCTGGGCAAGGAATAAATGAAAGGATTGGCGAACCTATTGATTGCAACAATGCCTTGGCTTTAATTGCTCTGACAAATGTCGAACCACATCACACTGCTCTAACAAGTGGTGCCCTCTTGGTAAGTATTGCTGAAATGTGTTAACATGTAAGTTCACTATGACCTAATCTACTTGTTTTTTTTTTTTTTTAATTTTCTTTAGAGTATGATGTCTGGTAAAAACATAACTAGACCCGTTCTTCAAATACTGGGTTCCAAACTTATATTAAATGGGCGTGATGAGCGTATCCGTTTATTAGTTTCGGATGGTAAATTTTACCAGAGTTATACTTTGTTAAGTTCGACATTGAAAAACATGTACCATGAGGGAATATTATCGGATTTCTGCATTGTTAGGTTGGACGAATACTTTGTATCAAGAGTCGCTACGACACCAAAACGTCAGTAAGTAGCAATTATTTTGTTGAAATTTGATATTTATTTCATAATGGATTTTTCCTATTTATAGTAGTTTTGAAAAACGTATTTTTGTACATTGCTGAAAAATATATTTAACTCTATGAGACGAAAGGCTGGAAATACATAAAGGGCATATTTGGCTGGCTTAAGTCATCGCCTGGCTACTTCGATGAACAAAGGAGTTTTAGGTTGCCTTATTTCGATTTTGGCCCCAGCCGATGACTTAAGCCAGCCAGATAAGCGCTTTATGTATTTCCACCTTAAGTCTCAGGTTTAAGTGCCATGTCTAGTTTGACATAAATACAAAATCGTTCCATATGTTCTGTTCGCTTTTTAAGCGATATGTGATTTTTATAGAAAATGGCCATTACGGACAGGAACATTGATGAGAAACCACATCTACATCGAATATTTCTTTCCTACCAGCCAGGCATAAAAAAGAGCTTACGAACTTCTTGTCTAATCGACTCCAAATGTCGTAAATATTTAAAGATTTTGTCCATAGATTATAAACCCATGCAAATGCTCTGTCCTCGTCACTTCTGTAGTTGTTCAGCTGAGAGTTTGAAAAAAAAATTTATTTCCGCATAATCAAGATTCAACTACACTCCAACAAACACCAACAACTCCACCAAAGTATGGAGGTTATATTAAGTTTTTCATTCCGTTTGTAACACCTCGAAATATACATTTTAGACCCCACAAAGTAGGTATATATATACTTTATCAGCATAAATTCTATTTCGATTTAGCGATGTCCGTCCGTCTGTGGAAATTACTCTAACTTCCGAACGAAATGAAGTAGGTTGATAAAATTTTACTCAAATGTGTATTATGTCTGCTGGACTTTTGGTATTGAAAATGGATGATTTAGGTCCACGTTTTGGGATAGCCCCATATAATGGTACCTCCCTTTTTTCTGTATTTTGGTGATTAAGGCGATTTAATTCACCAGAAATGTTTCAAATTTGGTATTCGAAGTTTGTAATGGTTACTACAGCCTATGACAGAAAATTGTCTGTGCAGGTCCACGATAGCCCCCATATAACGGTACCTCACGATATTCGCTATTTTGATGATTTTAGCGGCATTATTTCCCGGAATTGTTTCAAATATGGTATTTGAAGTTCGTAACGGATGCTACAGCGTATGACAGGAAATTCTCTGTGCAAGTCCACGTCTTCATATAGCCCCCATATAACGGTACCTCCCGATATTCGGTATTTTGATGATTTTAGCGACATTATTCACCGGAATTGTTTCAAATGTGGTATTTGAAGTTCATAATGGGTACTACAGCCTATGACAGAAACTGGTCTGTGCAGGTCCACGTCTTCGTATAGCCCCAATATAACGGTACCTCTCTATATTCGGAATTTTGATGATTTTAGCTACATTCTTCGCCGAATGTTTTATTCAAGTTTTGCTTTTGGATATTGTAATGGTTTATGGCAAAAGCTACTTATGCAGGTCCACGTCGTTGTATAGACCCTAATATAACGGCTACATTCGGTATTTTTAAGATTTTAACAGATTTTTTTTAAGATTTTTTTTTTTTTTTTTTTTGAAAATTGCCAAAATTGTCCCAAATGGTGGAGGGTATTCAAAGATCGACATGGCCGAACTTACAGCTTTTCTACTAGTTTAGTGTACATACTAACTTGTTTATCAACCAGAGTAATATTTAGATTATATGCATGGTAGCCATGGCTTTCGTCTTGAACGGATGCAATGTCAATGAATTTTCAAGACATCACTGATTAATATAAACAGGACGATTATAAATGTCACTTTCAAAAGCAATGGGAGAAATATTTGCATCGATTTTGTTAAAGGATCGGAGAGATTTAGAAACGAAAAAGATAAGTAAGGGTTTTAGGGAGAAGTATAGTTAGCAAACTTGTAGATAATGATGAAATCTATGACTGAGAAGAACGTTAGAGTTTATATCTGCCAGCTGCCAAATAATCTATGCCTCTTGTTGAATAACATAGGATATTTGCATAGTAGGTGTTTTATCGCTACGGCAGTAGGCACTCTTAGATCAGACATACTAAGTCGTAAAAGGTATTTTATTCTTATTCTCGATACGGCCTTGCAACTGGTTTCCAAGTGTCATCTTCTTCGAACTTCTTCGATTAAAGACTTTTTGAAGCAGCAGTCTCATCAATCGAAGTCTCCCATCTCGAGCTAATTCATCAGCTACCACCACTATGTTGCTATGTCCTGGAAACCAACAAAACTTAATGACTTTACGTATTTCAAGGAGGATTTTCTTTCTTTATAGGGATGTTCTTATAATTTTGGAAATGAAACTTCTTGTACCTGGAGACCAAGTGAAGGTGAAAATTGGCGAACCTGTTGTTTTGGAACCATCCATTACCACAAATGTCAAATCTACAATTCGTACGCTGACAACTGGTGCTATAGCGGTAAGTATTTCTCAGACACTTAAACCAAATATTTATAAACTATAAATATTATATAATTTTACAGGACATAAGGGCAGGTATAAAGAAAAACGATCCAGTTTTGAAAATTGTAGGCGCAAAAGTTAGAAAAATTGGGGATATTGAACAAATCTGTTTAGAAGTTTCGGATGGTAAATACTTTGAAAGCAATGTACTCGTTTCTATCGGTTTAAATTACTTGTTCTATGCGGGCAAATTGTCAAAAAACACCATTATAAAGCTAGACGAATATATGTATCACACTAATTACCAGAGGTATGTGCCATTGTCGTTTTTTATTTTATATTTGCTTAAAATAATTATATAAGTTTCGAAATGATGTTTTCCCCCGATTCAATTGTGTTGATATGATCTTCTTTTCCTATAGCCCTACATTCTTGATTTTAAAAATGACTATACTTGCCGCTGGCGACAAGGTGAAAAAGCCAGTACGCACTGCTATGCATTATATAGAGGATTTAACCAAAGAGACAACCCCAATGACTAACTTGCCTCAACTTTGTACAGGATACCTGCCGGTAAATATTGATATATTCAAAACAGCCAAAAAAATGGAAAAATAATTATGACTTTTTAGATTATTATGTGTGGTCTTAACTCCAATATCTACCCAGTTATTCAAATTTTGAAAGCTGAAATCGTAATATGTGCTGGCGCCGAACGTATTCGTTTGTTAATTTCAGATGGCAAATTCACTAATAGCAATACGTTGTTGTCCGAAGATTTAAATTTCATTTACCATGAGGGAAAATTAAGCAACAATGCTATTGTTAAGGTTAACAAATATCTTATGATTGCACTTAACCACGATCGAAAGTAAGTATTGCTGCTGATGTTATTAACATTACAATTTGTCTATTGTTGACATACCATGTTCCTAATCTACGTACTGAGTAGTAGTGTCTGAAAAGATTTATAATATTTTATATTTTCACATTCCATGACTGATATTATATAAAAAAATACGTAGAAATGGTTTAAGCTGAGATGTACACATCTTATTTGGCTACATATAGATTACATCAGGATTTATTAACATTTATTAATTGATCAATTTACATTATTTAAATTTACATTAATTTTTTTAAGAATAGAAATTATAAGAAACTGCATTTGTCATTAATTGTCTTTAAAATTTTTGCATACAGGGTGAGAAAAAACAACTGCAACAAAGTCAAACGCCATAATTTTTACATTTGTTTTTAATTTTTATTGAATAAACGAAAAAATTTCGGAAATAGCATCATTCTAGAATAAGTTTAGATTTGTTCGAATTATGGCCTTCAAACGGCCAATGAAACCGTCACACGCTGCCCGAATGTTGCTCTGCGGTATTTTGGCCATTCCCAGCGAAGCGCTTGCTTGAGGTGATCGACACTTTGGTATTTTTTAGTGCCAACCTTGCTTCCAAAATACTCCAGATACAATAGTCCAACGGAGTGGTATCCAGAGATTTGGTAGCCATTGTGCGCTGGAAATGAAGCGAGGAACCTCATTTTGTAACCATTCTTGGGTGGCGGGTGCTGACTGCGATGGTGCTGAGTACTATTGAAATGTCCAAGGTCTGCGGCTAAAATGTTTGCGTGCCCAAGGCTTTAATACACCCTTCAGAATATTTTCGCGATAATATTCGGCATTTATTCTGATGCCAAGGTCGATTAATACGAGCGGAGACCGACCATCGGGTTTTATCACGGCCTACACCATTACCATGGCCGTCTCTTGAGTTCTGGTGGCCAACCGAAGGTGCACATTTTCAGCTGACCTCTTTGGCAATTAAACACGATCATTTTGTTTGTTTACAAACTGCTGGACAACGAATGTTTTCCCATCAGAGAGGGAAAAAACCAAATTCGGCAGTTCAACACTTTCGGCCAAGCGAAGCAAGTCTTTAGCTCTTTTGAGTCTACTTTTTCTGTTGAAGTGTAAGTTCTTGCACGTTTGGAATTTTTATAGCTTTACCCCGAGCTCATTTTTCAATATTTGCCGAATGGAATATTGCGATATGTTCAGCTATTTTTGACGCGGGTTTCGATCAAGTCGCTTCTTTACTTTTCGAACAATTTCTGCTGATTTTGCTGTTTTCTTCCGTCCACTTCCTTGACGTCGGGCTACGTGGTAGCGTATCACGGTAACGAGCGATAGTACGAGACACAAAAGATTTATTCACATTTAAATACTGGAGTGCTCTAACGATAGCCAGCCAAATATAAAGAAATCACACTATCACGCTATCACAAATAACTTTTATTTTGGAAAATTCTTATAAAAATGCTTTTGTACGCTTGTAAACAATATAATGAGCTTTCACTGGAATAATTTTAACAGCTGTCGGACAGCAGTCTGAAGTTGGTTGCAGTTTTTTCATCTCACCCTGTATTCCTCCTCATGTACCTTTAACCAAAATTTAAAAAGCTGGGAGATGATGCCCATATTTGCGTCTAATTTTTTAAATTTCCCACAGTGGATGGCGTAACAGTAAGATTGGGACAAAATTATCGCATTTATTCATGTACGATCCATCGAAACTAGTTTTCCGTTTAATATTAGGGAGCCCTACATCTAGCCTTATTTATTGATAGCCTAATTTATTGATATTTCTTTTTTATTTCAGACAAACGGGCATACTTATTCAAGAGATGACCGTTCTCACTCCTGGACAACGTGTAAGTAAAATAGGCAATCCTATTGATTACAGAAGAGCAAACGAAGGTAATGAAACTGAAAGATCTGCTTCCGATCCCCGACAAAGAAATATATTTAGAAGTCTTAGAAACCTCAAATTTTATAATCTTCCGAGTGTTCTTCCCAAAACAAGGAGAAACAAACCAAAGACCGTAATAAAGTATAAATATCAAATCAAGAAGAACTTAAAGGCAACTGTTGATGGTGGACTTACATATGCCCTTGGTGGCTTGAGGCCAAATGAAGACAAATGGACGCTAATCCTTTTGTTGTTGTATATGTATTCACATCAACGTCAACTCTTAATTGTCAAAAGCACATACAATTAAAAATGCCGTTTTTTATAGTTCGCCTCAAAAAAATCGAGACATAAAATTTCTTCCATAACTTTTATACAATTTATTATTATGCTATCTAGTTGTAAGGCATTTATTTTATTAAAAATAAATCCATTGAATAGAAATGTACTCGAAAAATTTGTTTTCTTTAGATATGGTTTTTGGCAAAATATCAATACCAAAAAAGTTAAAATGTATTTAAGCATGGATAAAAGAACAAAAAAAAAAAACGTTATTTATTATGATTGATGATTTGTAAAGAAAAAAACAACCAAAATTACATCAAACAAGTGAAAAAGCAGCTAAGTTCGAAAAAATTAAAAAAGTAGTCAAAAAATGTCGCTCAAATAAAAATCTTTATATGGGGGCTATACAAAGAAGTGGAGTGTAAGGATAAGTAATTTTTTGTCATAGGTAGTAACGATTCCGAACTTCAAATTCGTAACAATTCCGGTGAATAATGCCTCTAATATCATCAAAATAGCGAGTAAATTCAATTCTCTTCCAGGGGGTAAAGTACGCAGACGGAACTCCTTGTGTGTATTTTCAGACTATTCCATTGAAAAATGTAGCTAAACTAATCAAAATATCGAATATCGAGGGGCACCATTGTATGTGTCAAATTGATTGAATGCAGAGCAAGCTAAATGCCATGGGTCAAGCATACGCTCCCTTTGCAATCAGGCTGACTACCATGGTAGAAGAATATTCTTCTGCCATGCTGACTACCAAACGAAATGCGTTATTGTGATTGAAACACAGAAGAAAAGAAAACGACAGGCAAAAATAGTGTAAACATGGTAGAAGAATATAGGTAGATGCATGGTACAATAAGGAGGTAGAACAGCTTCGTAAAACTACAGAAATACAGGCTATGTCCGCTTACTGTCAAACTCATTCAAAATTTTATATTTTTATTTTTTAATACTTTCCATCATATTTTAATGAATCAAATAGCGTGAACAATGAATGAAATGACCGGATTTTCTCTCAAAAACATGATCCAAACTGTTCAATCTTTCAATTTCATGGCTAAGCTGGTTGATAACTTTAGAACATTGATATGTCACAATTTTTAAAATGTTTTAACAAAAATAAGCATATTTTCAAAATGTTTTCTTATACGACGCAAATCGGTGGTTGTTATAATATGAGTTTTTGAACAATTTTGACAAATTTCAATAACTTTTTATTCAACATTTTCAATTCCAAAATCGGTTTGACAGTTCATTGTCCCAGCAGCTGTGTCGATGCGACTACCTGTATTCTCTACCATGATCTGGTTTTTAACATTTTCAGGAACACCTTGTTATTGCGTCACGCTAAATGCCATAACAAATGCTCTGTTCCAGAAGCTGCAAGAATCTACTAGTTCTGCAATTTTTTTCGATATCATAAAGAGAAAATCGGTTATCGTAGTAAAAACTTTTGCATTCTTGCATTTCTGGAACATACCGAAAATGCGTAAGGCCTACATAAGGTCGCATGGCAGAAGAATACAGGTAGATGCATCAACGCTTGGGAGCATTGATATGTCAAAAAAAATTTAAATGTTTATTCCAATATAGGTAGATTTTTATATGTAGTATAAGAATACTACGTCATTCGGAGCCTATTATAATTTGCGTTTTTCAACAATTTTTACAAATTTAAATAATTTTTCATTCAACATTTTCAATTCCAAAATTGGTTTGACAGTTCATTGTCCCAGCAGCTGCGTCGACGCGTCTACCTATATTCTTCTACCATGTAAGGTCGGCAAGAAGACTACTTTTAACAACAATTTGACAACAAACTTAGTAGTTTTTGCACTATTGTGACTTAACTCTCTTTTAATTTAAACTTGGTTGTCAGACGTACTTACTGGCCGACCTTTTATACGCCACAGCATGGCATAAGAATACAGGTAGATGCATCAACGCTTAGGAGCATTGATATGCCAAGAAAATTAAAATGTTTTTTAAATATAGTTAGATTTTTATACGACGTCATTCGGAGGTTATTAAAATTCGTGTTTTTCAACAATTTTTAAAAATTTAAATAATTTTGCATTCAACATTTTTAATTCCAAAATTGGTTCTTATATTATCGATAACGATTAACAATAATCACCATGCCCCAAAGCGTTCCTTTTTATGTTGCCTTATTATCGCGCCATTGAAATGGCTGGATTTTCTTTTAAAATATGATTCAAACTGACAGTTTTATTCGATATCATAAATATCGGTTATCGTAGGAAAAACTATTACATTCTAGCAGTTCTGAAACATAGCAATTAATATACATATATGTGTTTTACTTGTTTGGCGAAATACGTCTACCATGGTAGAAGAATATAGGTAGACGCATCGACACAGCTGCTGGGACAATGAACTGTCAAACCAATTTTGGAATTGAAAATGTGTTGCGTGCGTACCGCGATTGCGAAAGATTAATTTTCTGTATTATCGGCTGAGCGAGAATTTACATTTGTAATTACCGCTCCAGCCGATCTTGAAAAAATGAATGAACCGGATACGGTTGGGTGTCAAGGTGCTGCCAATGTTCCTCTTAGTACATGGTACTAAGATCATACGCAACCATGGGTAACGATAGGGCTCGCCAAGTGCGATCAAAGAGGAAGAGAATAAACAAGGGAGAACAAAAAAAAAAGGAAAAGTGGGAAGATCGCGTCCAATGGCTGCCGTATAAAAGGGGTAACGGACAGAAAATTCGCCATTGAGGTTTTGGTAAACGGGCAAGGAAAAATTTTTCTAAGCAAAAATTTAAAAAAAAAGTGATCCCATAAAAACACCAAGATAGTGGAAGTAAAGTTTTCGTAAATTTTTTATTTTTATTTGCCGATTGTTGTGTATGTGTGTGTGTGTGACCAAAATTGTGTAAGTTTCTGTTTTTCTAATAGTGTATGTCTTTTTGGTGTTTCGATGTTGTGTTTTTTCTTTTAAGATAACACCCCAACAAAAGAGGGCTAGATATCTGACCCCTCCAAGTTTTCGGTGGAGGAGGTCAGCAAATTTTTATATAAAGAAAGCGCAGCTGCCCAGTCCGTGAGTGAGGCCAAGCCCCGGTCCGCCAAAGTACCGGTATTCAAACAGTGGTCGGCTCGGTAGGTCTGATGCCGAAAAGGTCAAAAAGATCATCAATATCTGGAAAGAAAAGAAAATATATAAGTACAGAATCTCCAGGTAATAATTTGTATTATTAAAACTTACCGAGTCCTGAACGGTTGGTGCGGCCAAGTGGCATATATATCTTCCTCCTGCGGCCTGGAAAAAAAAGAAGAGAATTTTGATTAATAATTAATTTAAATGAAAAATGGAATGACACCAAAATTTTGTACTGACTAGTTTAATTTAATGTAATTATCTGTAGTTTAAGTGTGATTGTCCTTAGTGTATAGAATTTAGGTTAAGATTTTTATATTGTGAAAATTTCTAACGCCCGGTTATATACCTGAGCGTAGGGTTAGACCGTCGTACGAAGGGAGAATTCTAGCTTATTGGTAATTTTGGACATAAGGTAACGTCCATAATATCCCCTTAACAGAGCTCTATTAGGGAGGGAGTAGATGCTTGAAGTGGCCAGATTGGCAGAAATTTTTATGTACTCTTCGTAGACTGTAGTAGCCCGAGCGATTGGCTCACATAAAGACAGATTCAGGTGTTAGGAATTTTAAATTCAACGTTGTGCAAATATTTAATTGTTAGTATTAAGTCAAATCTCAATATGTCAATAAATTATTTATATGTGTAAGTGTTAATAGTCGATATGATGTGCTAATTTGTAAACTCTTGAGGGAATATAGGGTGTAAATTGTGTGGTAAGTGTTAGTGGAATGCGGGGCCCTTAAATATTTAAAAAAATTATTGGACAAAAGGGTCAAGGTTGGGTGGGCTAAGTGTGGGTGCAACTTCCGCCAAGCACCCTTGTCACCGGTGTATGTAGTGTTTGTATTTTTGATTGTTTTGATGTTTGTATTATGTCCCCTTTTTTTAATTGTTAGGCCCCTTGGACTGTTGGTGTCAGGGTTGGAACCGACCTGAGCAAAAAGCTCCCCTGAGCAGCTGGATACCCACCACAGTAACCATAACAATATGGCGCCCAAACTGAAACGATAATAATCGAAATATTCAGTGCAATAACACCGAGGCACTGTTCAATAGACCATTTAAGAAAATAGATTAAAAAACGAATATCGCATTTTTCTTGCATAGCGAATATCGCAACCACAACTTCGTGATCGAAGTCGCGTTAAATGTGCAATATTAGCTTTAAGTCTGAGAAAAATTAGGATATTCGTTTCCAAATCGAATGGGTCAAGTGCAATAGCTCTTGTTCGTCTACTGTAACAAATGATGTATTGTCTGATGACCTGTACTGTTTACGTTTTTGTTTGTATTTAGAGTAGATTAAATAGTCTGTAGTAGACATAAGGGAAGAAGTGCAATAGCCTCTGGGACGAAGTGAGTCGCAAGAGCATTGTATTTTATTACTCTAAATACGAGATCTTTTTCCTTCGCAAGAATTAGGAAATTGCCGTAATGTCTATTTACATGTAATATGTTTTGTCCACTTGTTTAAATCCACGTCAATCAATACACCGTGACAACCTAAAAGGACACTTTTCGTAAAAAAGTTTAAAATTATATAAATCAAAACCACACACTTGCCAGACAATTGAAAACACATCCTATTACCTCATATTTTGAAGAAAGTAATATTTTTGTAATATCTGTCTAGTTCTGTTCAGTTTAAAATATATACATATACATTTTTTTTTAATTTTTAGTTGATATTTTTTTTGTTCATTCGTATTTATGTTATTTATGTTTATGTTATCATAAGTTCTTATTGTGTTGTGTTTGAATTGATTTTTATGTTATTATTATTTTTACTTATTGATAGATTTCTATATTTATTTTTAAATTTTGTGTTTTTTTTTTTTTTGATAAATAGATACTAGTTAAATTTCCGTTTTCTGTTTTAAATTTACTGATATTGTCCTTCCATTTACGGTTCGCATTTAAATAGATATTTAATTTTTGATATTGTGTTTTCTGAATTTTATGCATTTTTGATCATTCTAATGAGTGAATATACATCAGGGAAAAGACAAAGTAAAAGAAATAGAGTTTTAGCGTTTGATAGTAGCAGGTTTCTGACTCAAACACCAAAGCCGAAGAATAAAAAGAAAAGAGGTGAAGAAACAATGGAAAATAGAGATAGTACTGTTCGAGATCTGTCCGGGACTATTAATAACCCCAATAATTTACCTAACTCTGGTATCCAAAGGCCATTGAGCATGCAAACTGATCAAGTAAATCCGCCTAACGAGATGGATCAGCTCATAAGGGGGATGGTCCAAGAGAGTGTAAGTGACGCTCGCAATAGTATAAGGTCATTAGTTCAGGAGAGCGTAAGTCAGGAAATGGGGAAAGTACATGCTGCGATACAACATTTGAATGAAGTAATCGCCAGGTTATCTATAGATAGACCCCCGACGGATCAAACCCAGGTACCCCACGTTCCTCCACCCACTACTCAGCCTCCACCCACTACTCAACCTCCACCTATCAACACCGAATACCAGACACACTCAAATCGTCATGCCACTGTAACACCGTCAATTTATAGACTGGGACCCAATATGGGAATAAGAATTGAAAGATTCGGATTGAATTTTTCGGGAAGGCCGAATAGTTTGTCGGTCGAAGATTTCATCTATAGGTTGGAATATTTCCAGAGACATTACCGTTTAGCCTGGGATGAGATTTTAAATGAATTTCATATTCTTTTGTCAGGACCAGCCTATGAATGGTTTTGGCTCCAGCAAAGAAATTCAAACATAGCTGATTGGGAATCACTCAAATACGGGTTAACGGAAAGATTTAAGACTAGGCGGACATGTTTCGAGGCTATGAGGGATTTATTGGAACGGAAACAAATGCCGGGAGAATCAATCGATTCATTCTTCCATGATGTTAATTTAATGCGTTCTAAACTAGAGAAGCCTGTATCAGAATACGAAATGATTTCTCTAGTAAAGAAAAATTTACGGAAAAATCTTTCTAGCATAGTTTATGCGTTGCCAGTGAATTCTGTGGAACAGTTGAGGATTGAATGTTTAGAAATAGAACGTACATTCTTCAAAAAAGATAGCGTAGCACCACCACCAACACAATTTCCGCCCGTAAATAGACCTATTCGGGTTAGTGCTTTGCAGGAAGAGGAGTTAGAATTGAATAGGGTTGAAGAAATAGATGAAGTGGTAGAAGTTGCAGCTTTTACGAGCAACCCAATTCTATGTTGGAACTGCCAAAAACCAGGCCACGGTTTTAGAGACTGTCCTGCAACACAAAGGGGTTTGTTTTGCTTTAAATGTGGCAGACCAAACACAATAACCCCTAAATGCTCGAACTGCGCTTCGGAAAACTCCCGGAAGAACATGGTTGCGACGGGAAACCATCGTTCCACCGAGCCCTCCAAGATAGTAAACCCGCCAATAAATTAGATTCAGATTCGGGAAATACTCAGGATTATGCCTCACGAAGACATTATTTACCCTTAGAATCTAGGCAACAAAACTACGAAAATGTTAAAGCAAGAATTTTCGGTGAAAGCAATAACGAGGAGCAATTACAGAACCCGAATCCGACTAAAAATACTAGCAAGAAAGAAAAGAGTAAAATAAGAATTATGAAATTAAGAAAATATCAAAAGGAAAACCGAATGAGGAAAAGGATTATATGCGATGCAATTGAGCGTTTTCAAGAGACTAAAGATCCTAGACCTTACGTTAGGGTTAAAATCGAAGGAAAAGAGGTTAAAGGGCTTTTAGATTCAGGTGCAACTGTTAGCCTATTAGGAAAACAGTGCCGTGAAATCGCCGAAGAATTAAACCTCCAAATTTTTCCATATGTATCAGCGATAAGTACAGCTTCAGGGCAAAGACATAGAATTTTAGGCAAGATTATAGTGAACATAGAGTACAAGGATAAAACAAGAGAAATTATTTTGTATTTGTGTCCCGACCTACAGCAGGATTTATATTTAGGGACTGATTTCTGGAGATTATTTGAGATAGCCCCAGAAATCTTTTCATTGGAAGAAGTCAATTTAGACCTCCAAATAAAAATTCATGGGGAATCCAAAAACGCAAATACCAACATGCATGACCTAACTGAAGACCAAAAAATCAGGTTGTCGGAAGTTGTAAGCAAATTTTACACATTCGAGGAGAAAGGATTAGGATGCACAAGTCAGGAAAAACATGCCATAAAGTTAATTGAAGGCGCTAATCCTGTGAAGGATAAGCATTATCCATTATCGCCGGCCGTGCAGGATATTGTGTACAAGGAGATAGACAACATGCTCGCTCTAAAGGTGATTGAGGAGAGTGACTCCCCATGGAGTAATAGAACAACGGTGGTTCGAAAACCCGGGAAAAACAGATTTTGTCTAGACGCTCGAAAATTAAATGCGCTTACTATAAAGGATGCGTATCCGTTGCAGAATATTGATGGGATATTGAGCAGAATCGACCAAACGCACTATATTAGCAGCGTCGACCTGAAATATGCGTTCTGGCAAATTGAGCTCAAAGAAGAAGCCAGACCATATACAGCTTTTACAGTACCAGGTCGCCCTCTATATCAGTTTAGAGTAATGCCGTTTGGACTTTGTAATGCGGCGCAACGTCTTTGCCGTCTAATGGATAAGGTTATTCCTGGCAGATTAAAGTCCAACGTATTCATTTACTTGGATGATCTTCTAATTATTGCGGATGACTTCGACAATCATTTAAGACTGTTGAGCGAAGTGGCCGATTGTCTGAGAAAAGCTAATCTTACGATCGGGATGAAAAAATCATTATTTTGTTTTCGCGAACTGAAATATCTCGGCTTTATCATTGGAAATGGATGTTTGAAAACTGATCCGGATAAAATCAGTGCGATCCTGAATATACCTGTACCCAGAAGTCCACGAGAAGTAAGAAGCTTCTTAGGAACCGCCGGATGGTATCGCAGGTTCATTAGGAACTTCGCGTCAATATCTGCACCTCTAACCGATACCCTCAAAAAAGGACAAAAGTTCAATATAAATTCCGAGGCTATGGAATCTTTCAAAACTTTAAAGAAAGCCCTTACATCAGCACCAGTGCTCCGCCACCCAGATTTCCGACGGGAGTTTTTTATCCAATGTGACGCATCGGAATACGGAATCGGTGCGGTATTATTCCAGAAGGATGACGACGGCGGAGAAAATCCCATTGCTTTCTATTCACAGAAATTAAATTCTACCCAGAGAAATTATTCTGTAACGGAAAAAGAATGCTTGGCAGCGGTATTGGCGGTGAAGAGATTTCGACCATATGTCGAACTTATGAAATTTACGATCATTACGGATCACGCCAGTCTTAAATGGCTTATGTCATTAAAGGACTTGAGCGGACGACTAGCTCGTTGGTCCTTACAGCTCCAAGCGTATGACTTCACCATTGAACACCGTAAAGGTTCGGAAAATGTAGTGGCGGATACTTTATCAAGGATGCCGGTTGACTCTGATGTCGTAATTGAAGAGATTAGTGAGGAAGAACTCTTAGATTTCGAGACCACAGCATTTGAAAGTGAGGAATATGTCGAGTTGTTAAACACCATAAAGCAAAATAAAGAAAAGTTACCAGATCTCCGCATAGAAAATGAAAAAGTCTATAAAAGAACTAAGAATTGCGATCCAGACATTACAGAATTTGAGTGGAAGCTTTGGATACCGCAGGAAATAACATACGCACTAATCGAAAAATCGCATAACTTTACGGAAGCTGTCCACGATGGCATATACAAAACCCTAAACCGCTTAAAAACATTTTATTATTGGCCAAAAATGATATCCCAAGTCAAGCAATATGTAAATAACTGCCAGATTTGCAAGGAAACAAAACCATCCAATCAAAATATGCGTCCTACAATTGGAAATGAAGTAGTGACCGACAGACCATTTCAGAAGCTGTATATTGATTTCCTAGGCAAATACCCTAGATCAAAGAAAGGAAACTCCTACATATTTATAGTAATGGACCATTTTACAAAATTTATTTTCCTGCATGCAATGAAGGAAGCAACGGCCGAAAACGTCATAAAATTTCTGGAAGATCAAGTATTTCATACATTCGGAGTGCCAGAAATAATACATAGTGATAATGGGAAGCAGTTTGTGTCGAAAATGTTCGAAGAAATGATCAAAAGATACAAAATCAATCACATAACAACGGCTTACTATTCTCCCCAATCAAACGCGTCAGAGCGGGTAAACCAGTCCGTACTGGCGGCGATAAGGACCTATGTTCAATCGGATCACCGTGATTGGGATCTGTATCTTTCTGAAATTGAACAGGCTTTGCGTACTTCAGTTCACTCAGCAACCGGTGTGAATCCTTTCTTTGCGTTGTTTGGCTATAATATGTTTACAAGCGGAACAGATTACAAATTAGCTAGGCGGCTCCAATCATTAACTGACCATCAAATTTTGCAAATGAACAAAACCGACAAATTAAAGCTGATGAGAGAAAAGGTCCAAAAGAATCTACATAACGCGTACGAAAATAGTGCAAAACGGTACGATCAAAGAGCCAGACTTGTCAAGTTCCTACCTGGACAAGAGGTTTATAGACGGAATCATATGCTCTCTGATTTCAAAAATAACGTAAATGCCAAATTTTGTAAGAAATTCCTAAAATGCAGAATTGTTAAACCCATAGGTAATAACATGTATGAGTTGGAGACTCTGCAGGGAAAACCCCTTGGTAATTATCATGCCAAAGATATTAAGGTGTAGGAAGTGTGCAATAAATCTGTGATATAATAATAGTGCAATATAGATTTATAATTTTGTGTCGTAAACGTCCAATTTTATCAAACTATATGACTATTTGTAATTATATCTGGAGTTTATTGACTCATTTCATTTATACCATAAATTTTTTGTGCTGTGGACAGTCCCCTTTTTATATAGGTATTATTCTGACTATGATTATTTATGCTTAGAGATTATTATCTTGCTTACAATTATGCAAAAGAAAGTAAATGTTTTATCTAGCGACCAATGTCTTATATTCTAATTTAGCACAGAATTGAATGCCCGGCTTATGAGACTTCAGGGTGTGGGAGTTCCCCACGTTGAGCTACTGAAAGATATCTCCAACTCCGGCAAACCCTTATTTTTATGATCAACAACTCAAATAATTCTTAAATGAGATTATTTTTTTATATTTCTTCTATTACCCGAGAGCCCATGAATGATTCTGAATGCCAATTGTACAATCTAGTTAAAAAAATAGAATAATTTACAAATTATTCCTTTCGGTGAACGTTAGCAAAATATTATAAATCAATTATAGAGATGGAATACCTGAATTCCAAAACACCTTTAAATCAACCTCATTCCACAACAAGCAACTACTTCGCGTATTTTTTTGAACATAATTGCTTCTTTTATTTTTTTTTAACATTCGGCTACTCTATGTATTTTTTTTAAATAATTACTCCACGTAATTGTTGCCTAAAACTGAATGCTCCACGCATTTTGTTTTTGCAGAATATTTCAAATAATAAATATAAATATTTCAAATAATAATACTTCACAAAAATATAAAGTAAACAAGACTTACCTGAAGGTTTATGATCCACAGGGGAACGTTGTTGTGTGGTGACGTAAAAAAGTCGACGAGGTCACGAAAAACTGTTCCTTCATGCTGGCAGATTCATTGTAGCACTTTCATAACATTCAATTGGGAAAAAAATACTGAAATAAAAACACAAAAACATAAATTAGTTTGGCACAGAAAATACAAATGTTTTGTTTTGACGCAAAATAAATTTGTAAAATTGTATGACCTGGCGATAAATTATCTTTCTGTAAAAATTAAAATATTCATAAAGGAACATTTCACCAAGAAATTGTTTTTCATTTTCCTATTTTCGTAAAAGAGTCGTCTCTAGAATACAACAACACAATCGTAAACAAAAATTCCAGTCATAGACAAAACAAATAAACATAAACAACACATAAACATGAAAAAACGCATAATCACTCCAAACTACCACCATTTGGACAGAGCCACACGATTGTTGTTGGTTTATCTACAACGCAAAGATTTCCACTATTACCTGAGCCACAATGCACAAATTTTAACAACGATAACAAGTTTTTTTTGTGGGGGAAGATTTACGAACATTGCACAATTTTTATATGACTCATTCATTCAGCCCTTTTTTTAACCATGTATTCAAGAATGTCATATTTCTTTATGTTCGTTGTTTTCACTTTTTGTTTTCATTCCTTATTTTTTTCTTTTGTGCACAATTAAGTGTATTTAGTGGCCACCGCAAATCTTTGCTCACAAGAATCTTTGTTTCTTATTTGTATATTTTTCACGTTCAAGTTTTTCACACACAAAACCTACTTGGGGAACACAACACCGAAGAACATTCCTCTATTAACGCCGCCACAGGCAAAGACAGATTGTCCATTGTGAATTGAATGGCGATCATTTCTTGTTGTCGTCGCACGCCAATTGCGCAATAAATAAGAAAAAACAGATATTTCCCAAATGGTACTTCACGAACGCGAATCTTGAATTTACCTGTAAGGAAAAGAAAATTAAATAAACATTTGCCCTAATAGTAAGAATATAAAGAATATAATTACCTGTTTCTCAATCTTCATACAAATGGTATGAAGATGACGTTCACACATTTATTGTGCTGTGTATGTGTTTTTTTTTTTAAACCAGCTGCGACGGCGACGTTCTGCTCGTTGGACCGGCACCAAACCGTTGTAGTTGTTGCCGGCACACGTATGTGTGACCGGCATTGTTGTCAATGGCGATAAGCGGTGGTATGATGCGTAAATACACACACACTCACACTAACCCTGTAGGCTGAGCCACCCCACATGGCCATTCATTGTGGAAATACGTACCCATTTTTTCTGAAAAGAAAATTTTATTAATTAAAATATGTTATTTTATTCTATGTCTATAAAATTATTATAAATGAAATTTTCAATATACTTACCCATATATCCAAGTCAATGTGGGAGCACAGCAGCGTGTTTTTTTTGTGTGGATCAAAATCCATTCTTCTTTTGTAATTGATTATTTTATCCTGATGCTTTGCAGGAAAATGTTACAATCCAGTAACGCACATCACCATTTTCTCACTTTTTGTGTGAAAATGGCGAAGTTTTGTTGCGTGCGTACCGCGATTGCGAAAGATTAATTTTCTGTATTATCGGCTGAGCGAGAATTTACATTTGTAATTACCGCTCCAGCCGATCTTGAAAAAATGAATGAACCGGATACGGTTGGGTGTCAAGGTGCTGCCAATGTTCCTCTTAGTACATGGTACTAAGATCATACGCAACCATGGGTAACGATAGGGCTCGCCAAGTGCGATCAAAGAGGAAGAGAATAAACAAGGGAGAACAAAAAAAAAGGAAAAGTGGGAAGATCGCGTCCAATGGCTGCCGTATAAAAGGGGTAACGGACAGAAAATTCGCCATTGAGGTTTTGGTAAACGGGCAAGGAAAAATTTTTCTAAGCAAAAATTTAAAAAAAAAGTGATCCCATAAAAACACCAAGATAGTGGAAGTAAAGTTTTCGTAAATTTTTTATTTTTATTTGCCGATTGTTGTGTATGTGTGTGTGTGTGACCAAAATTGTGTAAGTTTCTGTTTTTCTAATAGTGTATGTCTTTTTGGTGTTTCGATGTTGTGTTTTTTCTTTTAAGATAACACCCCAACAAAAGAGGGCTAGATATCTGACCCCTCCAAGTTTTCGGTGGAGGAGGTCAGCAAATTTTTATATAAAGAAAGCGCAGCTGCCCAGTCCGTGAGTGAGGCCAAGCCCCGGTCCGCCAAAGTACCGGTATTCAAACAGTGGTCGGCTCGGTAGGTCTGATGCCGAAAAGGTCAAAAAGATCATCAATATCTGGAAAGAAAAGAAAATATATAAGTACAGAATCTCCAGGTAATAATTTGTATTATTAAAACTTACCGAGTCCTGAACGGTTGGTGCGGCCAAGTGGCATATATATATCTTCCTCCTGCGGCCTGGAAAAAAAAGAAGAGAATTTTGATTAATAATTAATTTAAATGAAAAATGGAATGACACCAAAATTTTGTACTGACTAGTTTAATTTAATGTAATTATCTGTAGTTTAAGTGTGATTGTCCTTAGTGTATAGAATTTAGGTTAAGATTTTTATATTGTGAAAATTTCTAACGCCCGGTTATATACCTGAGCGTAGGGTTAGACCGTCGTACGAAGGGAGAATTCTAGCTTATTGGTAATTTTGGACATAAGGTAACGTCCATAATATCCCCTTAACAGAGCTCTATTAGGGAGGGAGTAGATGCTTGAAGTGGCCAGATTGGCAGAAATTTTTATGTACTCTTCGTAGACTGTAGTAGCCCGAGCGATTGGCTCACATAAAGACAGATTCAGGTGTTAGGAATTTTAAATTCAACGTTGTGCAAATATTTAATTGTTAGTATTAAGTCAAATCTCAATATGTCAATAAATTATTTATATGTGTAAGTGTTAATAGTCGATATGATGTGCTAATTTGTAAACTCTTGAGGGAATATAGGGTGTAAATTGTGTGGTAAGTGTTAGTGGAATGCGGGGCCCTTAAATATTTAAAAAAAATTATTGGACAAAAGGGTCAAGGTTGGGTGGGCTAAGTGTGGGTGCAACTTCCGCCAAGCACCCTTGTCACCGGTGTATGTAGTGTTTGTATTTTTGATTGTTTTGATGTTTGTATTATGTCCCCTTTTTTTAATTGTTAGGCCCCTTGGACTGTTGGTGTCAGGGTTGGAACCGACCTGAGCAAAAAGCTCCCCTGAGCAGCTGGATACCCACCACAGTACCGCATAAGGTGGTAACCATAACAAATGTTGAATGAAAAATTATTTAAATTTGTAAAAATTGTTAAAAAAAAAACGCGAATTATAATAACCTCCGAATGATGTCGTATAAGAAAAAATATAAAAATCTACTTATATTTGAATAAAACATTTAAATTTTTTTCTTCTGCCATATACGTCTACCGAGTACGTCGAATTTGAGGTAACGCTTTAAAATTATGCGTACTCTGTCGACGTTTTTCACCGTACAATTTATACACATGTATTTATATTAGATTTCGAAAAATACGTCAAGCGTACAAAATTTCAAAGTTGAACATTTTTAACATTGACTATTGAAACAATATATTTTGTTTCGACCAAGTACGTCGAATTTTTGTTAACGCTATTATGCTAGTAAATTCACACGCCTGTTTTACGCCACACGCCTTTCATGAAGGGTACTCATTTGTCATTCACATGAAATTTCCCAATTGATAACATCAACAATATATTCCCGCCTCATTTTCGTTTTGATGCAAAAAGTTTTGCAATTACAAGCAAGAAGCATACATTCTAAACAAAGGCGTCGAATTGATAAGTTGCAACATCTGCTGGTCTCAGAAAAAATTGCTATAAATCAGTACGATAAAATTGATTTCATTTTTAACTGTCTCTTAAATTAATTTCAACAAATTTAACCATGCCCGGAATTCCTGCATTGTCAACTGGCGTTTTGCCGGTAAGTATGGAAGGATTTATCCAAGTTGTGAAATGTAATGAATGCTAGTTATTTTTTAGCGCATGATGTCTGGTGAAGAAATTGAGGGTCCTGTTTTTCAAATAATGGGCGCTAAACGTATAAATAGCGGCGATTCAGAACGTGTCCGTCTATTGGTTTCGGATGGTACATATTTCAATAGTTATGCGATGATGGCTACGCAGTTAAACACGAAATATGCTGATGACCAATTAAAAGAATGGACCATTATTAGAGTGGACAAATACATAACATCTGTGGTCAATAAAAATGATGCCGGCAAGTAAGTTTATATGATATTTTATCAGCAGCCCGATATACATTATTTTTTTATTACGCGATATAATTGTCTCATATTTGCGTATTATTTCTCGTTCCGAATGGACAAGATTTGTGTTTTTTAATAGCTATTCTCTGCGAATAACTATAGATTGATGTAGAGGAATTTTTCAGGGTAACCATACAATAATCACTTTACGGTTTTCATCAGATATTTCCAAAGCCTCTGTCAGTGGTGTTTCAATTTATGCCTTCTAAATAGTTATCCTGTGCGAATAACTATGAATTGATGTAGAATAATTCAGGGCAACTATTCCTCCTTTAATCACTACGGATTCCATTAGATAGATGTCATTGGTGTTTCAAACATGAATGTTGTATAACATGAAATGAAATCGCAACCCTTCTTAACAAATAAAAGATTTTATTAAATTTACGATATGATAAATCGATTTACTCTCAAAACGAGTTGAATTAGTTGACATTATAAAGATTTTAAGAATAATTATCTGCATATGTTTATAAAATTGTCATCTTTCATAGTCCGTTCTATATATCGGCAGTTTTACGCTGATCGAGAATGAAGACACCAAATTTAAGTCTGGGACTAAATGCTCACATATTTTAATATGCGGATAAAAAATTATTTCGAAATTTGTTTGATATAGAATATGGGAATTTGGCCCCAGGTCCAAAGTAAATCGAAACGACAAATGGAATGAAAAAGTTAATTCACTACTTTAGTGCCGTGAAAAGTTTTTAAACTAAGTCTTGTCAAATCTATTCAATTTGATATGTCTTGACTCGTCTGCGGTTGGTTCTAATGTATTTTTCTTATTTCTTAAAGGCGAGTGTTGATCATTTTGGAAATGACTGTTCTTATGCCCGGCTCCCAAGTGAAGCATAAAATTGGTGAACCCGTTAATTATCAAGAAGCCATATCAAAAGGCGAAGTTTCAGCTGCAGCTCCTTCTCATAAAACTGTTGAGAATAAACCTAAACCAATGTACACTAATCACAACAACAACAATCTCGATTCAACCATTAATTCAGGCCTTACACATCCCATCGCCAGTCTTAGTCCTTATCAAAATAAATGGGTTATAAAAGTTCGTGTAACCTGCAAGTCACCGCTACGTACTTGGAGCAATGCCAAAGGTGAAGGTAAACTATTCAGCATTGATTTAATGGATGAATCCGGTGAAATACGTGCGACTGCATTTCGCGAGCAATGCGATAAGTTTTATGATATGATAGAGGTCGACAAACTCTACTACATCTCCAAGTGCCAATTGAAGCCAGCAAATAAACAGTACTCTACATTAAAGAACGATTATGAAATGACATTTACCAGTGACACTGTGGTCCAACCTTGCGAAGATGATGATGATGGTGGAGTACCTGTTGTTAAATACGATTTGGTTCCCATATCTCAGGTTGCAAATATGGAGCCAAAAGCTGCTGTAGATATTGTTGGCGTTTGCAAGGAAGTGGGAGAATTACAGGCCTTTACCTCACGTACCACCAACAAGGAGTTTAAGAAACGGGATTTGACTTTGGTAGATACCAGCGAGGCTGCTGTGACGGTTACCATATGGGGCGATGAAGCTGTTAATTTTGATGGACACGTACAGCCGGTAGTTTTGGTAAAAGGCGGCCGGATCAACGAATTCAATGGCGGCAAATCTGTTAGCGTTGGTAATGGTTCGGTTTTGAAAATAAATCCCGACATACCCGAAGGTCATAAGCTGCGTGGTTGGTTTGATAATGGTGGCGGAGCCAACATTACCAATTCCGTTTCAGCCAGGTACGAAAACCCATACCATTTCTCATTTGTTTTTATCGTAACTAAAATTAAATATTTCCATTAGAACTGGAGCTGGAGGTGGCTACAGCACTGAATGGCGTACATTCTACGAAGCTCGTAATTTGGGCACAGGAGATAAAGCGGATTATTTCCAAACTAAAGCTGTTGTACATTTGATTAAAAGCAATAACGCCTACTACAAAGCTTGCCCACAACCAGACTGTAATAAGAAGGTCATCGATGAACAAAACGGTCATTATCGCTGTGAAAGATGTAATGCCGATTTTACCAATTTCAAATATCGTCTCCTGGTCAATGTAAGTGTTGGTATATCTCGTTAATCATTTGTAGTTTCAACAAAGCAAATATTTTTTTTCAGATGAGTATTGGTGACTGGACTTCCAATCGCTGGGTTACCTGTTTCAGTGATATGGGCGAACAGCTGTTGGGTCGTAGTGCCCAAGAAATTGGAGAAGCCTTGGAAAACAATCCCACAGAAGCTGAAGAAATTTTCACTTCAATAAATTTCCATTCATATGTTTTCAAACTGCGTTCCAAAGTCGAAACCTATGGGGTAAGTAGTAATTAAATTTTCATTCAATTACTATAAAATAAATAAATATTTCGTTTCGTTTTTTTTTTTTTTTTCTAGGACATGAGTCGCAGTAAATTGACCGTACAATCAGCTGCCCCTGTCAACTATAAAGAATATAACAAATATTTGATTGATAGTCTTAAAGAAATGACCGGTATTAATAAGGCTTAATTAGATTACGTTGTATTTAAGAATTATTTTGTTTATTTGCACATCATAGAATTTAGATTTTTATTGTTTACCTTATTTGTACACGTCGTTTATAGTAACATCCAAAATTTATACCTATTGTAATTTAAATTATTTACACCTACTTGGAGGCAACATGTTTGTGAATACATTGAAGCATTCATTAAAATTATTTCTATCTTTAATATTAAATTTGAAGTATTTTATTTGTGACAACCCTATTGTTGTCACAGAATGGGCAAAGTTGGTTGCTGGATTTATTTTTGGAGTCTGTAATTGGTGATTGGGATTTTCTCCTTCCAAGTTCCCCAAATCTAACATAAAATTCTTTTCATATATGATTTTGTCTTGTTCTAAAAAAAGTTCAATTGTGTGGTTATTTTACTTGGGGAAAATGTATGTACTCGGAAGGAGGTAAACAGGGAGATTAGAAACTCCCCAATAAATGTTGATGTTCATACTTAAAGGGTTCGCAATCTAATGTCTTTATTTTTTTAACCAGTGCATATTTCGTAAAATGTAATACTTAAATCATGTCTGATTTGTAATATAATTAGTTTATCCTTCGAATGTGAATGTGTTAAAGAATGTGTACGAATTTGTGAAGATAAAAAACTATCATCAGCTTTGTATATAAACAGCGATATTGTCGTGTTTAGGGCACAGAAATCCCGACCGCATCCGTTGAAAAGCCGATGCAACCGAAACGAGACACTGTTTGGTGCGGATTTTGGTCCATTTTTCTTCGAAAATGAGTAAGGAGTGGCCGTTACAAATTGGTCGTCCTGGATTCAACACAACGAAAAACGTAAATAGATTCCAACATTTTATGGAAAAGAAAAGTGAATTGCTTGGGATGTAATGGGATTGAAATGAAGTTCTCCGACCAAAAAAAAAAAAACTAGAAAAACCTGTTAGGGGAAAAGGTAAAAACGACGATTAGTTAGAATATTGCATTTTAACTAAATGGGTTGTCCTCTAAACCCTTGAAATGTAGATTTTATACCCTCCACCATTCTATGGAAGGTATATTAACTTTGTCATTCCGTTTGTAACTCCTCGAAATATTCATAATAGACCTTACAAAGTATATATCTTCTGGATCAGCGTAAAATTCTAAGACTATGTGCCGATGTCCGTCTGTCTGGTGTAAACAGGCTATCTTTCGAACTAATTGAGATAGAAGTCTAAAATTTTGCATACAAGCATAGTTTACCAGTAGGCAGGTTAAATTCTTAAATGGGGCACGTTGGTCCACGTTTTCGTATAGCCCCCATATAACGGTACCTCCCGATATTCGGTAATTTCATAATTTTAGCGGCATAATTATTTAAAATTTTGTATTTGAAGTTCGTAGTATAGCCTATGACAGAAATTTTTTTATGCAGGTCCAAGTCTTCGTGTAGCTCCCCTACATAACGGTACCTCCCGATATTCGTTTTTTGATGATTTCAGCAACTTTATTCAACGGAATCGTTTCAAATTTCGTACTGGAAGATCCTAATGGGTACTACAGTCTATGACAAAAAATTTTGTATGCAGGTTCAAATCTTAGCATAGCCCACATATAACGGTACCACCCGATATTCGGTGTTTTCATGATTTTATTTATATCGAATTTCGTAATTGAAGTTCGCAATGGGCACTACAGCCTATGACAAAAAATTTCGTATGCAGGTCCACGTCTTCGTATATTCCCAACATAACAGTCTTCATTTAAATGGTAGTTTTCGGATTTTTATTTGAAATTTTTCAATTTCCTTCGAAATGGTGGAGGGTGTTAAAAGTTCGGCCCGGCCGAACTTAGCTGCTTTTTTACTTGTTAACTTTTGCATCAATTGCTCTGGGTGTAACTGTAAATCTTTACTCAACCCACTTTGAGCCAGGTTTTTTTTTTGTTGAAATCTTAAATTTCTTTAATTGAATTTAGTTTTAATTCCTTTTTAAAATGTTTTAAATTTATTTTTCTAAAACTTATAGTTTTCCTGGAGTTGGTTGCCCGGTACTTAAAGTGCAGTGGTAAAATCCACTGCCACAAATACGTATTCTTAACTTATATTAATACGCAGTAGTCGTGTTAGATACTTTCCCCGCTGATAAGGATGGCTTGTGGCAGATGTTTCGTTAACAATTTTCTGTACTATTTTAATATTTCCGCAGTGTAACTTAAACCTGGTCTACCGATTCGAAGCAAGTCTGTTACGATGCCAAGTTGGTGATGACGATGAATTGTGCAATGAATCATTGCTTCTGAAGGCAAAATTCTGACATTAAAACATCGACGATATGCATAAAATGATAGATCTCTGTTGTGTATTAATTTAATTATAGAATTAACGACGATTAATTTAACAACAATTAAAACTTTTTTTATTAAATAAACATTCTACGTTCGAAAGATACAGCATTTTGTCGGTAACTGCAAAAATTGGTGGAGATCCCACTACTGATTTAAATAATATAACTGTATTTTTTGAACAATTGCATAACTCACCATTGAAACACAATAAATAAAACCAAGATATATTTTTTAATGTTTATTTTTTTATTTGTTAAAATTAAAAACTATGATATTTTGAAGGTTATGAGTAGAACATGATTTGTTTGCTTTGTCCATTTGTTTTTCTTCTTTTTTGATTTTACTTTTAAAGATATATCTTTATCGTATGTATCTGTAAATGTATGCATCTATTCAATTCGTTAAATATAAATTTATATAAGTATAAATTTATTATCTGACTAGTTTATATATCGATAATAACTTGCATATATGTATTGTATTAAAATTTTTTAATTCCATTTGTTTTGGTAAGAAATATAAACAGCACTCTAAACAAAAACAGAAATTATCAGACGATTTTCTGAATAACAAAAACTAGAAATAAAATAAAAAAAAATTAAATTTTTTAAATAAGGTAATATACAAATTCGAATGCAAAGGGGAGGGAGGGTGATACAACAAAACTTACAGAATAATGTAAATATCTTATACAAAAAATATGTCTTATGTTTCATTTGCGCTTTTTTTTTTGTTTTAGCCCTAAGAGTATGCATAATTGTGTGCGTATGTATGCGTTTATTTAGCACTTTATTGTTGAAGATAATTTGTCTTACTAGTTCGTTTGTTTTGATTTGAAATATTCAAAAATTGTATTTATTTTTATTTTCTTTTGAAATGTTATTCTTATAAAATTATGTGTATAAACATTATTAAATTTTGTTGTTTTTTTTTTTTTTAATATAGTTTATGTATTGCATGTTTGTTTGGTTATATAGTTTATTTCAATAAAGTAATGCCTGCATTGCACAAAGTTTTCAATTCTAAGGTAGGTTTTTTTTTTTAATTTTCGAATGTTGTTTTTTGCTTTTATTACGTATGTGGCTTTTGTTTTTCTTTTGCTATAAAAATGTGGTGTTTTTCGTTAACATGTTTTCAAAGATTTTCTTTTGCCGCATAATATATATTTTTTCGATACGTCATTGGTTTCACAACATTGGTATTTTGATAATTGTTGCTGCGTTGTAAATTATTTTTTGTTTTATTTTAGGAATACACGTTTTGATTTGTTTCGTTTTTATTCATATAAATAATTTTTTATTATTATTTTTTATAAAAAGAAAAATACATTTGTTGGCGCCTAAAAATATGCTTTATTTTCTCATCCTCAATAAGTATGAAAGGTTTATCAAGTTCGTCATCGAAATAATCATTTCTGACCCAACAAAGTATATATATTCTTGATCAGCGTAAAATTCTAAGACTATTTAGCTTAGAATTGTTTGTCCGTCAATCTTTTGTAATCACTTTAGACTTCAAACCGCATATGATAGAAAGCAAGCATTTTGCGTATTGCTATATTTCTATATTTCTAAAGAAGCTGTTTAAAATTCGGTATTTAGATTTCGTAGGGGGTTCTACTCCAAAAGCAGAACAATTTCTATACACATCCATAATTTTCTGTAGTCTCCAACCTGCCGTTTGTCATTCCGTTTGTAACACCTCGAAATATACATTCTAGACCCCACAAATTATTATATTCTTGATCAGAATAAAATTCTATGTCGATTCAGCGTTGTCCGCCCGTCTATTTCCTTTGTGGAAATCACTCTGGCTTTCGAACGAAATGAAGTAGGTTGATAAAATTTTACTCAAATGTGTATTATGTCTGCAGGACTTTTGGTATTGAAAATGGGTGAAACGAACGTGGACCTAGTTTTGGTATAGCCCCATATAATGGTATCTCCCTTTTTCGGTATTTTGGATATATAACCGACAATAAATAGTTCCTTCCTATATTTTTAAGATTTTAACAGAATTTTTTACGGTTTTAATTTTTTTGAAAATTACCAAAATTGATCCAAATGGTGGAGGGTATTCAAAGATCGACCCGGCCGAACTTACAGCTTTTTTACTTGTTTATAATTTACTTTGCAAGTGCTGAAGGGCCGCCCGAACTTAATTTCTTTTTTACTTGTTTAAGTTTACTTTATCAAAATTTTCGATCTGAGCTTAATAATATTATATTGATGTACAAAGTTTGGATAACCCCTTTTGAGAGTTTTGGTGCATATCAGCCAGTCGGACGGACACCGCTATATCTATTCCTAATCATTAAAAACAGATTTCGTCCTAACAGATCCATGGTCTAAGACCCCCTATTTCAACGAGTTACTTTTTGGCCGTATCAAATGATATATACCCTCTGTATGGGAGAGGGTATACAAAGTTTGGCACTTTTAAATTTGATCCATTTCTAGCTCTCCTGGCTATGTCCATTGGTATACGAAAAAGTTTAAAATTCCTTAAAACAATCATATCTTCGCTTCTAAAAGAAGATATTCCTCATGATACATAGATCAATTGGTGGTTTTGGTATTGAACTATTTTTACATGGACCCAGATGACGATTGCACTATTGTAAGACGATGGCAAAGCAACATCTTAAATTACTTTTTACCACACGTTGTGGTAGCAACAACGATACACCACAACCGCCTTATTATCCAGCAAGGATTGTTCACCCTACATGCAGTTCAAGTGGGATTTAGCTTGCATCTTTTTGCAAAAATCAGACATAATTTACAGAGATGTAAAACTACCTCGAATTCTTTTGGAGAATTAGAATCGAATGGGACCGTCATAAGGGCGCTATGACAAAATTTGAAAATATTTTAAAACATTTTCAAGAGGTGGCTTCCCAACCATAGATTTTTAAATTGCTTGGACCATTAGAATATCTTATATCTGTGTCGTACTGTCATATGTGTCAAACTTGTAAGTTACTGGAGTAAAATTTAAATAAAAACTAAAAAAATATATTTTTATTCATTACACAATTTGTATACATACAATGTTTTATAAATTAAAATCAATAAATTAACTGTGACCCAGCACAAATTTAGATTGATCAAAAAAAATTAAATACCGATCAGGAATTATTTAGAAATGGGCCTTTAATTGTGAGCCCTAATTCTGCGGGAAACAACTTGGTATTGAGCGTGAGAAATAATGTCACGGTATTAACATGACTTTTGATTTAGCTTTCCAAGGGAAATGGAAACGCCTTTAATTGGAAATCGAATATGTTTTTGACGGCACAAACAAAATGAATTCTAAACTCCAAGAGCATAGTTCTTCAGAACAATTTCTTCTTTCTATGACTTAGTCAGAAAAGAACTGATATATATTTTATAGCTTCAGATTGTGATCAACAAATTTCTGTTACGTTTAGTCCAACCATTCTAAGCGATTTGCAATTTGAAGGTGGGAAACTTGCAGACTTTTTAACGGCATGACCCATACTATAGGGCAAATTACGCTTTACCTAATGAGTTATAGGAGTTTGAGGCAATAATTATCTTAACAGATCCCAATCTTTCACCGAGTCATACAAAAGTAGATTATCTAGAACAATAATAGATAAATCACATACAAATTGCAAATGAAAGTGGGTCCCTGTTGTCAGGCCCATATAGGGATATATCTAAATACAAAATATGAAATTATAAGTTCTCTACATCTTGGAATTCCGCAACACATCTTACATTTCTCATTTGGAAGCATGTCATCGTTGGCCATAGCTAAAATCCGTTTGGGCATGGACATGTGAATGACGATGACAACTATGAGGCTGTGACTGCTGCTGTTGTTGTTGCTGTTGCTGTGGCTGCGTAGTAGTAGTAGCATGAGGACTAAAAGCCATTGTGGCCGTATTGGTTGTCAGCGATTCCTGGGACTCCTGAGAAAAATATTCATGTGTATGAATTTCGGGCGGTTCAGTTGGTTGGTATTGTAACAATTGTGGCACAGCATAATCGTGTGAATCGTGACGCCTATGATGACAATGTCGAGCATGCTGCTGTTTATGGTGATGCGATTTACTCAAGTGCGATTGCCTCTGACTACTGTCGAGCAGAGCAACGGAGCTGCTGGTTTCCAGTGAACGTGTGGTACTGTTATCGTTGTTATACTGATAATGTTGATTATTTAAACTCAACAGGGATGTCGAAGTGGTACCCATCATTGCAAGATTATTTGTATTTCGATCGACTTTAAAGGAAAGGCCACATGAACAGTGTTCAATGTTGGAATTGAAATTGTGGGATATATCAAACATGGACGATGTTGTTGTTGTTGTGCTCTCCATAGTCGTTGTGGTCGGTAAGGAGGATGGTAAGGTGTACGAATGTTGTTTGGCGGCATAATTTAATTGTTGTTGTTGTTGATGAATTGAGGGTGGAGCATGAGTGTGTGCATGAGAATGATGGACATGGGAATGTGAGGCGAATGCATTGTGTTGTTGTTGTTGGAGAGTCTGAGATTGTGTTGTTGTTTTGTGATTTATATTTGCTTGGTTAATGGATGATCCCTTAAAGTCATTGTACTGATGATGGTGATGATGATGACTGGGTGAACCTACTGACGTATTATTGGTATTTGTGGTCATATTCATTGTCAACGATGTCATTGACTGAGAGGCATGCACCACCGCCTGTTCCGTGAACATGGTGCGCGTTGGTGGTGGCGAGGTGCTGTTTGGCGTCGATGATGTCTCGGTATTTGTATTAAAGTCTATGCTAGATGTCGATGTTGGCGATTGATGATGGCAGCGACATATTGTAACTCAAAAAGTGTTGCCAAGTTCGTTATGAGTTTCGGTTTCTGTGTCGTCCAGGCTTGCTCTATTCGTCGTCGCCGATTGGGCTTTGTTGCCCAGGGCATTTGCCATAGTTGATTTGGGTGAGACATAGCCATCGTTGTTAGTGTGACCGTTTTGGGCATGAATATGACTATGGTGATGATGATGGTGCGGGTGTACATGCGGTGTTGTCGAGTTGGATGATGCCGTTGCTGTGTGTTGCAGTGTATTGGAATGAGTGTTGAGTGTCGAGGGTCCCTCCAATGAGGCCGATGAGGATGATTCATTCATTGCCGAGTTACCAATTATATTTAGGGATTTTGGCGGTATAGGTGGTGGAGGCATGGGTAAATCTTCCACATCAAAGGAACTTGAAGAGTTCTCTCGTTGCGTTGAACTTAAGCCACCGCCATTGTTGTGGCTGGATGAAATATATTGGCCATTTTCCATGCTTCCGCTGGAGGAGAGGCGACAGTGATCACGATGATGTACTGTACTCATAGAATTGGTGGATGATTCCTCACTTAGATTATTTAAATGGTTCAACTCATGGGCGCTGGCTGTGGAAATTCCTGAATCACGAAAATCATTGGGGGCATACGACAGTGTGGACAAATGATGATTATCAGAGGCATGACAATTCAGTGAATGTGCCAGTTGTTGTTGATCTGCCTCGGGATCATCGAAACTAATATCAACTACGGCATACTTTTGATTGTGTTGATGTGAAGTGGAATGTGGTCGCCTGGGCATACTTGAGACGGGTGACTCGCTAGAGAAATCATTGAAAATCATGGGATTGGAAGCCCTTTTGTCGGGTGTTATACCCCTTGGCGGTAGAGGCGGGGCTCCCGGTGAGCCTGGTGCCTGATGATTACGTTTTGGTGGCACTTCTGGTCCATCCATTGTAAGTGAATTGGAATTGGAAAAGTTTTGTGATCGGGGCCTATTTGGTATAGGTGGAGGACAGACTTCGGGATTTTCTTTGATTCCCACTGCAACATCCGAATGGCCAATGCTATTCGATAAATTCTCTTTGCTTAGTGTTTGATAGGAGTTCTGGGCACCAAATCTGTTCATGATTGATTCCACAGGTCTCAGAGTGTCTCCGGGTCTTGTGTAAATCTCATCGTGTTCGTAATAATTTGAAGCCGGTATAAGAGAATTGGAGCCGGTGTTATTGCTGGCCAAACGTTTTTCTGTGGGCAATGGTGGTAGCGGTGTGTTAACTATACTCTCAGAGGCTTGGCGTTTTAATCGCCCCAGCCCAGAGAGGCTTTGTTTTAGCTGTGAAAAGCGTTCCAATAAACGATTGTGTAACGGTTGTACCCCAGGCGGAGCCAATTGGCCATGTAATTCCAATGCTTGATCTAGAATTTGTATTTTCTCCAATATTAAAGCTTTCAACTTTTGTACATTGGCCTGTTGACCCTGACCCTGGGGTGACTTTAAAAATTGTTCCGTAAAGAATGCCTCTTGATACTTGCTAATACCGCCCATAACATTGGCATCTATGACGCCCTGTAAACGCATCGAAAACGGATTGATGTTACGCTTTGGATCTTGACGATATTGCTGTATCAAGTCCCAGATATCTTTGCCCACATTGTGCATAGTTTCACAGGCAAATTCGACGGGTGTCAATTCCTGTACCGATTTCTGTTTAACTTCAAACCAACGCAGAATGCCCGGCAATGGCGAGGCAATATCCAAGGTGGTACGTTCAATCCATAGGCTTTTGAATTCGTTGTCTTTGTCTACGGGACCCTTGTGAATGGGACGATCCGATATGAAACGGCTCACGTCATTCACTTCATAGAAGCGAGCGATTTTTTCCGGCACCGTAACCATGGCTGTCTTCAGGGCCTGAGCATCGGCCACTGGTCGTACATTGCTTATTTGTATATACTGTTCGGGAGCAGATAAAATTGAATTATCCGGTGGACTATTTGTGTTGAGTGTTTGGGCAGCTGGAAATTCGGTTTGTAAACGTTGTGTAAATGCACTGATGCGTTCATATTCCAGGCCACGATAAACAAATTGTTTATTCTAAAAAGAAATAATGATTGAGGGGTTTTTATTTAAAAATATATATATAATTACATGTTGCATTTACTTACCCTAACAAAAAGTGGAAAGCCCAGACCATAGAAACCCACACGAAAATATTCCGGTTCGGGTCTTAGTTGAGTCAATATATTCTGAAAGAATTTAGCTTCCAATATCAGTATTTCACTCAGCTTATTGTAATCGAAACGTTTCGTCTCGTAGAGTAGGGCCAGTTCCTTGCACAGCGGTATGCCCTTTTCCCAGCATTTGCCTTTGTCGAAATATTTTAGAATCTAAAATAAAATTGAAACAAAATAAAAGAGGTTGAATATATGTTAAAGAAACAAGCGCAGTTTATTTGTTTGGGCATTGCACAAACCCTGTCCTATAAAAGCAAATAAAATTTTTTAAAGCTAAGTGATCTCGAAAGAGAAATAAACTGGGCTAAACTTTCCCTTTGAAAACATCTTGTTTCCGTGCAGGCCAGGTTAAGGTTAATGATGACTCGATTAGGGTAATCATTTAGGAGGCTGACAGGACTGAACGTTACCGTGAATAACATTAATTTTTAAAATGGTTTTATAGGAAATCCGGATCGGACGAGATGACTGTTTTCAAACGTAATCTCCAAACCCTGTTATGAACGATAATAACCCTAAAGATACAAGCGTCCAAGAGCCAATAGTTGGCGATAAGAGACAATAGTTGGTGATAGAAATCAAATAAGGGGCTAATGGTGTGCATCTAACGACACATCCAGATGGTAGTGGTTGGATACAGCTTTTGAGACGGAATGCAATCGAAGCCGATCTGGGGGAAGTAGAAAAACCATTCCCAACCACTAAATGAGGATGGGAAATTATAAGTAGCATATTGAAATGCAGAGATGCATCTATTAATGGTGTGCATTAGTCATCTCCGATTCCAGTGGCTTTTGTATCGGTAGCACTCGAAAAGATATTTCTTCGGAGACTGAATGTTTATATTGAGATGGGCGAATCAGTTAAACATTGAAAAATAGTGTGGCTTCCATTCGACTATTGTTCCAATCAACGATACCGTAGAATCACCGATAATCTATAACATTGGCTGTTTTAAGAAACGAAGAGAAAGTTGGCTTGAAGGTTCTTATGGAAACGGGTTGTGTGGTATCCCCGACTGTTCGTAAGGAAATCTCGTGAAGTCGAACCACTTTTCCACTGTTAATCCAGTTCGAAATTAAGGTTTACTACGGCTACCTTCGTAGGCTGTAAACAATGATATTTTGGAGCGAATAGTTTGACAGGGCAAGTAAAGAGATGCTCAGTATTGTGTGGGCCTATATCACACGGCAGGCAGACGTTTCTGCAATTCGTGCTCAATATGAATTGAGACGGCTGCACCATGCTGAACATAATTATGCCAGCCGACATTCGTCAGATTAAATGGATGGGGATGAACTCCAAACACTGTATTCATACTGTAATTGTTGATGTCATCTGTGACTACATCAGTATTAATACTACTTAGACCTGTCTGATAGGCATGTTGATCTAGAGGCTCTGTCTTAAAGCGTTATATCTCCCTTTCTAGATTGTGCTGATACTCCTGAGAGTTTTATCCATACTATGAGGATTTGAGTGACCCCTACTATAACACCTTAGCAGGTGTTGCAACGATGGCATATGGTTATGCTGACGGTTGGGAATGGCCTTTGCCTCGTTAAGAAGAAAGTCCACAGGTGTCATGATGAGGCAACCTGTTGCAGTTCTCAGGGAAGCGTTCTCGCACTTTTCACTCGTCACTGGTGTATACAGGATGAGATAAAAACTGCATCAAAATCAAACGCCATCATTTTTACATTTTTTTTTTAATATTTTAGTGAATGAAAGCAAAAATGTCGGAAACAGCATCAAATTTTAGAATAAGTTTAGATTTATCAGAATTGGTCACCTTTTGCACGAATTATGGCCTTCAAATGGGCAAATAAACCGTTACACGCTGCCCGAATGTTGCTCTGCGGTATTTTGACCTAATCCCGGCGAAGTCATGGTTATGGTGTGGGCCGCCATGATAATTGATGGTCGTTAATCGACTGTGGCATCGGAACAAATTCCGAATATAATCGCGAAAATATTCTGGAGGGTGTATTTAAGCCTTGGGAACGAAAACATTTTTACCGCAGTCCTTGCACATTCCAACAGGACCCAGCACGCTCCACCCAAGCACGCTCCACCCAAGAATGGTTACAATGGCCACCAAAATCTCCGGATACCAATCCGTTGGACTATCGTGTCTGGAGTACTTTGGAAAGCAAAAAATACCAAAGTGTCGATCACCTCAAGCAAGCGCTTCGCCGAGAATGGGTCAAAATACCGCAGAGCAACATTTGGGCGTCGTGTGACGGTTTCATTGGCCGTTTGAAGGCCATAATTCGTGCCAAAGGTGACCAATTCGAAAAAATCTAAACTTATTCTAAAATTTGATACTATTTCCGAAATTTGTTGCTTTCATTCAATAAAATTTAAAAAAATGTACAAATAATAGAGTTTCTCACCCTGTATTATGGAAAAAATGGAAACCCCCATTTAACATACCTCATGATATAACTGTTCCTTGCGCTGCCATTCTGGTTGGCCATCATTGCCATTTGGTGATAGACTCGATGATTCACGATCCCAGCTTAACATATCAGCGTATAGTTTTAGCGTAAAACCAGCTTCTGTATAATTTTCCGCTTGTAAATGCAAATCGTGTAATTTGTAAATGTATCTGCAATAAAGACAGGAGATTTAAAGATTTTGATATGCTACGAAGATGTACTTTAAATAATTACCTCAAATACATTTCCTTGCGATTGATTTCATTTTTATAGAAATTCAAGAGATTCACGGTGCAGGACATACGTTTATCACGGTTCTCTTCACCCTGCATAACACTGCGATAATCGAGTAAACGTTCCAATAGCCGTGTCACCGAGGCAATGAACGCTGTGCCGGCATCTTTCCAAATGGGGTTCTCATTTTGTACCTTTTCAAGGAGTCTTTAGAATAGAACAGATATATTGAGACATTAAGAAATGTTGGAAAATTAGAAATTAGATATTTAAAAAGCTACACAAATAGTTCTATAAATATTAACGTTTTAAAATAAATAAGTTTAAATTCAAATTTTATTAGAAAGCTACATTTAAAACTAATTAAAAAAAATTTCATGGCCGAATTTAAAACTTAATAAAAATAAAACATTATTTGCAATATTTTTGCAAAAAAAGCAACAGGCAAATGCATTTCTATGAAAACAAAAATGAAAAGGAAAATAAAATTAATGAATTGAAAATCAAATCTATGCAATGTGACAACGACTGATGATGAGATTCAAGTTAACTTACACCAGACTTAGATGTTCCCTTTTTTGTAGTATATTTTGGGTTCGGTATTGAATGCATTGTTATTTAGAAGAAAATTGAATAATGATAATGATGAAAAGCACAGAGTTTAAGAAGAAAAGTTGATTATAAATATTGTGTTAATTATCAAAATTAAAACGAAATTAAATAAAAATGCAACATTTGCAATGAACAACATCAAGTGGCATGTGTTGTTGTTAGTAGTACAATTAATATAAGTAGGTATGTATGTATGTTTGCTCCTCTTACAACAACAAATCACTTACATTGTACTGAAAAGTTCACGATATTCATCGTCACCCTTATTTTCGCTGATTAGCAAATCCAATTTGTCAATCAGTTCACTTTCAACCCAACGGAATGAGCCACGGGCACTCTGAAAGAAAATAAAACACACACACACACACACATATGAAATAGACAATATAAGATTCCATGCTGAAATTTCTTATAATTTTGGAAAGCTATTTCTAAAAACTCCAACATTTCATTGATACATTTTTGAATATTATTCCTAAAATACAATTCATTAGCTCTAAAAATTCTTAAAGATATTCCTAAAAATTCCACTTTCATAACTCTGACGAATATTAAAAAACAAATATTCTTAAAAAGTCCATGTTAGGAGCTTGACAAAATATGCTTAAAAGGATGGATCTGGAAATTTAAAACAAAAAATTCTCCAAAAGCCCAGTTTAAGATTTGTCACACATCTTCGTAAAAAATATTCTGGAAAAATATTTGTTGTTGATTTAATAATTAGATTAAGCCCTGAAATCCCTGCCTGAAACACGTGGATTCATTAATCATAGTTGGGTTTCAGAACATATCAGTATAGTGGGGAATGAGGTGGCTGATACATAAACTTTGAACGGATCTTAGTCGATTTATCTACCAATGGATGAGACTGGTTTACTGCTAATAAGATATTATGTCATCTGCTTAAAAAAATCTCTCATCACACTTAGCGACCTGTTGAAGGGTATCCTAGGGAATTTGGCCGGTAACCTCGAGAAGAAGAACAAGTAAAAAAGAAGCTAATACCCTCCATCATTTGGAAGGAACATGAACATTTTTAAAAAAACTTCTGGAAACTACCAGTTAAATGAAAACTGTTATATGGAGACTATACGAGGTCGTGGACCTGATTACGAAATTTTTTTGTCATAGGCTGTGGTGCCCATTACGAACTAGAAATAACAAATTTGAAATAATTCCGGTAAATAATTTCGCTAAAATCATTAAAATGCAGAATATCGGGAGGTACCGGTATATGGAAGATATGCGAAAACGTGAACCTACATACGAATTTTTGTCATAGGCTGCAGTACTCATTACGAACTTCAAATACCAAATTTGAAATAATTCCGGTAAATAATGTCGCAAAAATCATAAAAATACCGAGTATTGGGAGGTACCGTCATATTGGGGCTATACGAATACGTGAACCTGTATACACAAATTTTTGTCATAGGCTGTAGTACCCATTATAAACTTCAAATATGTAATTTGAAATAATTCTGGTAAATAATGTCGCTAAAATCATTAAAATACCGAATATCGGGAGGTACCGTTATATAGGGGCTACACGAAGACGTGGATCATATGAATTTTTTTCCACAGGTTATAGTAACCCTTAAGATCTCCCAATACGAAATTTGGAAAGAATCCGGTGAATAATGTTGCTGAAATCATCAAAATACTGAATATAGGGGGCTATCGTTTTATGGGGGCTATACGAAGATGTGGACTTGCAAACAAAAATGTTTGTCATAGGCTGTAGTACCCATTACGAACTTTAAATATGAAATTTAAAATAATTCCGGTAAGTACTGTCGCTAAAATCATTAAAATATTGAATATCGGGAGGTACCGTTATATGGGGCTAAAGATAACGTGATTACAATAGACTGACTGATCGTCTTAGAATTTTACACTGATCCAGAATATATATACTTTGAAGGGTCTTTTATAAATATTTCGAGGAGTTACAGTTATAGAATGGGAGAGGGTATAAAAAGCTCTCTCTTCTATCACTAAGTAGGTCTGATCTAAGAATCGCGGTAGGTATACTGACTGGTCACTGATAAATGACCCCTAGATGTGACAAAAATGTTCATGACTACTGTGAAGGCGAAGAAGAGGTACAGCCGATTGACATAGGCTATTTGGCAGATGGGTTATAGAAGCTCTTATGTTCTTCTCAGACATAGATCCCATCATCATTTAGATAAGTTTGCCAAAGGCATAGTCAGTCCACCCTGCTAACTTAAACTTCTCTCTATAAATCTTTTCTTCTCCTTGTCGTTTCTATATCTATCCTATTTCCGCAATTTTTAGCGCTCTCTTAAGCCGAACCAACCAACCAAGCTTGATAATAATTACAGGACACTCCCAGTCAAGACACCTATATCGGCGTTTTGAGACTCGACGTCGTAAAGTAAGCCTCTTCCTCAGTTATTGACTTTTTCAGATTAAGATTCCTCGGAATCCATGCATTTTAGGTATATAGTGTATTTGGCAATATTGCAGTTCAAAAAGTCCGCTTATACGGGATCGTAGTAAGTTAAAATACTCTACAAAATTATTTGCCATAAAATTCTACTATAAGTCTTAGAAGACATCAAAAGTCTTGATCTTGCTTCAACGCCAGGAATTCATATATATTACAAAAACATTTTAGGGTTAAAGCAGTACTTCACGCGAGTTTATGGATAAATATCAAACAAATCATCATTTTTGGATAATGACATCAAAGAAAAAATTATTCTTCATCAAATTTCGCAATAAGCCACCGAAGAAATGAAAGCACTATTTCCATAATACATTTAAAATATATCCGCATCAACATTGCCAAAAAACGCGAAAACGTCCTAATTTTTTTAATCAATTTTTCTTTGGCCATTTTTCGAGTTGATCTTTAATGCATCAACTAAAACATAATAACATAAAATTTGTTTTTAGACAGAAGGTGTCAAAAGAAGAAATTTTCTTCACAAAATTTCGCTATAAATCTCAGAATAAACTATATATCTAGGTACAATAGTTCGTAAGAAAATGACATTCGAAATGTGTACATTACAACTGAAAATTATGTGTTTCCTTTTTTTACTGCTAAACTCAACACGATTCCATTCTTAGTCAAAATCTTCCTTAATTTTTCATTTTTCCTTAATTAATATTTTCAATATGAGTCTCTAAACGAAAGCAATTAATATACTTAATATGTGCCATAAATAATATCATAAATTTTGGTTTTTAAAAAAGTTTTTAATTTTCGACAAATTTAGCACTTTTTCCGAGTTCCTTGAAATTTTCTTAAAATGTCGCTGTCTAATTGTGGAAAATCCAAGTGTATTATTCTGCTTGAAGATCAAAAGCCCAAGAGATTTTCAAGCTCTTAGGTCAAGCTATTTTAAAGCCCTTATATAGCCTCGACAATATACAAAAGGAACTCAATATCAATGTCGTAACTTTTAAATATAGTCCTTTATAGATAATTTTGGATTACTTCAGGAATAGAAATAGGTCATGGTGATCCACTTTGTTTTACTTGAAAAAAACATATACAAAAAAAAAAGCCCATGTTGTAATCCGCAAAATTGCAAAAAAGTTTGAAGAAGGGGAACTTGTTTCATAATCTACTAATTTTTTCCTGTAAATATTCTTGAAATTATTTCGAAAATTCTTTAAAAATATACTAATTAAAGTAATATTGCTACTTACCTGTTCACATTGTATCATATCGTAGAATACGGTCAATGTAGCCTTTCTCAGTGATGGCTCGGGAACCAGTGTAACCTCCAGGAATGGCCCCACCATATATGGTATAAAATTCAGCTTTTGTTCACCCAACTGTGACCACATACTCAGTATTTGAAAACCCATCAAAACACGCATATCCCCGTGCGAATGTAAAATTTTACGCCGTTTCGGTTCACGATATTTTTCCAATTGCAATGAGGGTTGCGTCAGAAAGATCACAGCCAAATGGAAGTATTTTCGCCACAATTGAAAATCGAATAATTTAGATGACAAAAAACGATACACCAATGGTTTGGCAAATTCTTCCAGAGATTTGCGCAAAACATCGTTACATGCCAATTTCATGATTAACCAATCGTTGGGAAAGACCAACCAATCCTGTGACAATAGCTCTTCGAAGACCAACAATGAACTTGAGAGGAAATCTTTGAGATCACGTGGATCCTTGTTGGGACACAATTCATCCCAATAACGTTTGTATTGAGTTTCGTCCAACAGCTGCAGCAGGCCCAACATACAGGCCACCAATTGTGGTACCACCGGATTGGAACCTTCAATTATGATGATTATCGTTTTGATTAGTATGCCCAAGATGTTTTTACACAGCGAATCTAAATCGTGTTGCAACGTATTGGTGACTTTGTCTTTTTGCTCCTTTTGCAGATCATATAAATGTGTTAGGATTTCTGCCAGAATATCGGCACAAAGTTTCAATTCATTACGGCGTCCCAAATGCATGCGTAGGTGTTTACAGGCTACCGATAGGATAACTGTGCGGGAATCTGAAAATGAAACGAAAACAATGTCACACATTAGAAAAGTTAGCCTTCAGCTAAGATCGTAAAAACTTCAGCACAAAAAAATCTGCAAGAAATATCCACCACTGAGACTCCAATTATCTTAAAAAACTAAATAAAAAAACTGAAGACAGTAAAACCTCTTCAGAAAAAAATTATGTTTGTGACTAAGATAGTTCTTTAGGAAAAAATTGTCAATGAGCCACGGATGAGACTCGAAAAACTTTGTACGAAAATTTCTAAAAAAACATTCATGTCTGTTTAAAATTCCATGTTCGGTGCTCTGGTAGTTCTCTACAAAGATTCTTAAAAATGTCGAGATTTTAGCTCGGATAGTCCACCATAAAAATAAAATGTCATTCAAAATGCACTATCTCTCTGGAGATGTATAAAAAACTGTTTAAACAATTACTATTAAAGCTCTGATATACCTTTATAAAAATTCTTTAAAAAATCCAAGACAGTGGCTCCGTTGGTCTTCTACCAAATTTTCTAAACACTTTAGAATTATGGGTGTTTTAGTCTCCTATAAGAATTCGATAAAATTCTCTAATAAATCCACGATTATGGTTCTGACTTTTGTAATTATTCTGAACAAAAATTCACGATTATGACTCTAATATTCTTCTAGAGAAATTCCCTGATAGCCTTCTTGTTCTTCAAAATATTCTGCATTATTGCTCTGATAGTCTTTTGGCTCTGACAGTCTTCTACAAAAATTAATTGAAAAAATTCGAGATTGAGGCTCTGATAGCCTTCTTATTCTTCGAAAGATTTAGGATTATAGCTCTGATAGTCTTAAGCCTCTAAAAGACTTCTACAAAAATTCATAAAAAAATTCTGAAATTGTAGCTCTACGATAATAGTTCTGATAGCCTTTTTATTCTTCAAAAGATTAAGGATTATAGCTCTGATAGTCTTATGACTCTAACAGTCTTCTACAAAAATTCATTGAAAAAATCCGAGATTGGGGCTCCACGATAATGCCTTTGATAGCCTTCTTATTCTTCAAAATATTCTGGGTTATAGCTCTGATAGTCTTCTACAAAAATTCTTTAACAAATTTATGATTGCGACTCTGATAGTCTTTCAATAAATCCACGATTATGGTTCTGATAGCCTCTGGTATGCTGCTCTGGAAGTTTTTTTCTACAAAAATCTTATAAAAATCCACGATTGGGGCTCTGGTAGTTTTTTCTACAAAAATCTTAAAATATCCACGATTTTGGCTCTGGAAGTTCTCTACAAAAATTATTAAACAATTCACGATTAGCTCTGATAGTCCTATAAAGATTCTAGCACTGATAGTTCTTTAAAAAAAGAAGAGCTGATAGTCCTCTACGAAAAATCGCTACAACAATCCACGATTTTGACTCTGATTGTTCTCCTAAAATCTTCAACAATTTCCACGATTGTGGCCTAATATCCTTGATTAAAATTCTAAAAAAAATTCCTTATTCTAGCGCTAATAGTTTTCTAGAAAATTCTTCTTTGATGCTCCTCATCTAATACTTAAAATTATTATAAAAATCCAAACAAAATACACATTTGAATCTAATCCCCCACCACAAAAATCTTTCAAAAATCCAGGATTGTGGCTCCCAAGTCTCTATCAAAATTCCTTAAAAAACCTTAATTATGCCTCTTTAGAAATCGACTATTGTTTCTCTCTTAGACCTCTAGAAATCGGGATCTACACAACTAACAGAAAGAGAATTGAAAAAATTACAATGAATCGACCATTGTTTTCTTACTCACCATCCTCATGGAAAAGTTCACCAGATACCAAATCCTTAACAGCCTGTAATTTGGCCTGAATCAAACGGACCGGAGCATCCCTGGGTATGGCATCCAACATATTACGGGCCAACATGCCCAATTCCGGTGCTGGTAGGGTATCTTTCAATTGTTCCAAAACCACTCCCGTTGAACTTAGCAGAGCCTCCTGTGTGGGTATGATAAGATCATAGGATGGCACCGCCAACATACCATTCAAGGCAGTGAAAAGTGAATGCAAGTCCCGACGAAATGAATCTTCGTATTGACCACCGGTGGCTCGGGCAAACAGTTTACGTGATTGTATTAAAAGTTTAAAAATATATTCCAAGGAGCCGAAACACTTTTGAAATGGATCTGGATGTTCGGCTTTTGTTAGAAATACGGCCATGTGTTCGACTGAGGTAATCAGGCCCTTGTAGACCAAGGCTGCGGCAAAGTGATTTTCAATGTACTCATTCATGACCGGACGAAAATGTTGAAATTTATTGCTTTGTAGGAGACTAAAAATGCTAACCAGAACATGGAAGACTAGGCCCGAGTGTTGGGTACTGTTGCCCTCCTCATTGGAGAACATGGCAAAGAGGGCGTCCAAAACATCTTGCAGAAATTTGACAAGTTCTTCATCGTTTAGACGCAGTACACCCGTCAACGAGTCTTGGATCTTTTCGGGATGGGCCCGCCATTGTAGCAGCGACAGTAAATCGGCATTTTGTGTTAGTTTTGTGGAACACAGCAGGGAGCGCATAACAAACACTTCCTTGGAGCTACGATGAAACGTTGAGCTACACTCCACTTTGGCATGGGGATCTTTGGGTTTACAGGGTAATATCAAATAATTGGCAGTGGTTAGTTTTGCAGCATCCTCACATTTGTAGACATACAGTTCATGTTGGCCATCAGCCAGTGTGGCTCCGCTGGGATCCATGAGACGGGCAAAACTGAAACCAAACAACTTTGGTTCCGATTTTTCCCTGGTCGAACAGTGGCGAAATTCAAAACGAACATGGGCCGCAGAGAACTTATCAATGGGCACACTCAGACGTAACATTTCATTCCAGCAGGGAGCATTTTGATGATAGAGAATCATGGATTTGTAGTAGTTTTGGGTATCCATACCCGAAGCACCCCATAGACATTCTGTCAGGACATTGCCAGCAACGTCCAAGACCACAACCGTAACGAGAATATTTTTCGCTGTATTTTTGCCACCCCGCTCAAATTCTCCTCTTTCCAGGGTGATGAACATATCGTTGCGTACATCACCGGGCATTATTACATCGGGGAAGCCCATTTTACGGGTAATCGTACTACCTTGGAAGAGTAGGGGTTGTTCCTGTCGGGCCTGGCCTAAACCACCGTGCAAGAGTTTCAATGACACAATAATACCCTGATTACTTTGATTAATTGTTGTAATCGGCTGGAATTTGCTGCTGGATTTCTTAATGATCAGTTCATGTAGCTGATGGAAATCCTTCTCATCATTATGATAGACCAATTTGATATTATGATCCTTTTCCTCTGACTCAATGGTGGTATCATAGTGGCCGATATCAGCCAGTGAGAGGACACCCACACCGAAGGGTCGGCGATATGCAGCGGTACCGGTACAACAGGAATTATTGCTTGACTTTTCCGAGGGTAAAATCTTGCCCACACGCATTACAACGGCCACCAAATAGAGGTCTTCATTCAAGTCGGCAGCACCTGGAAGAGGGAGGGAGGGAGTTTTAAATTTCATTTTGAATCGAAGGTATCATACCATGAACTTACCCAAATCTGTGAATACCGTACAATTACTGTTGACCCTTTCAATATAATTCGCATAACCATCTTTACAGATCTTCACCACAAATCGTTCGGACACGGCTTTCATGTGATTCGCATCGTATAGATAGAAATAGACTTCGGCATCATCGCCACCACCAATGCGATAACCAAATTCACGCATGCAAAAATACAAATGGTGGGTGAGAATTTTTCGTTGGGTTTTTCGGCGCAAAGTACCTCGACTCTGGGAAAGAGAAAAGTCAGGAAATGAGGTTATGTATGTCAAGTAAATATTGAATGTTGGATATGGTGGGCATTAACTTACCGACGAGGCTTTGGCATTATCGGCACTTGTGACATGAACATTGTATAGACCAACAATTCCTATGTTATGGGGATCCACAGCCAAGGGACCAATACGTGGCACCAAATCAAGGCCTAGTTTTCTGTAAAGAAAAAAATATTTTTAAATATTTTTTTGTAGAAAAACAAATATTTTTAAATATTTTTTTGTAGAAAAAAAAATATTTTTTAATGTAACTATCAAGAAAAAATGATTGTATAAAAATTTAAATACACTTTTTTAAGAGAGAAAAAATAACTTTTTTGAATTTTTTTCTTAAATATTTTATTTTTTTATGAAATATTTTTTTTTATTATTTTTATTATGTTAAAATTACATACATACATATTAATATTTATATATACAGGGTGAGATAAAAAGCCTGCAACAAAGTCAAACGCCATAATTTTTCAATTTTTTCACATTTTATTGAATGAAAGCAAAAAATACCGGAAATAGCATCAAATTTTAGAATATGTTTGAATTGGTCACCTTTGACACGAATTAAGGCCTTCAAACGGCCAATAAAACCGTCACACGCTGCCCGAATGTTGCACTGCGGTATTTTGGCCCATTCCCGGCGAAGCGCTTGCTTGAGGAGATCGACACTTTGTTATTTTTTAGTGCCAACCTTGCTTTCCAAAATACTCCAGACGCAATAGTCCAACGGATTGCTATCCGTAGATTTTGGTGGCCATTGTGCACCGAAAATGATACGAGGAACCTCATTTTGTAACCATTCTGGGGTGGCGCTTGCTGAGTACGATGGTGCTGAGTCCTGTTGGTATGTTCAAGGTCTGCGGCCAAAATGTTTGCGTACTCAAGGCTTTAATACAACCTCTAGAATATTTTCGAGATAATATTAAGCATTTATTCTGATGCCACGGTCGATTAATACGAGCGGAGAGCGACCATTGGCTGTTATTGCGGCCCACAACATCACCATGGCCGGCTCTTGAGTTCTGGTGGCCAACCGAAGGTGCACACTTTCAGCTGACCTCTTTGGCAAGTAAACACGATCATTTTGTTTGTTTACAAACTGCTGGACAACGAATGTTTTCTCATCGAAGAAAACCAAATAAGGCAGTTCACCACTTTCGGCCAAGCGAAGCAACTCTTTAGCTCGTTTGAGTCTATTTTCTTTCTGTTGCAGTTTTTGGAATTTCAATGGCTTTACCCCGAGCTCATTTTTCAATATTTGCCGAATGGAATATTGCGATTAATTCAGCTCATGAGCCATTTTTTGGCCACTGCGTCGGGTGTTCGGATCAAGTCGCTTCTTTACTGATTTTCTTCTTTACTGATTTTCTGCTGATGTTGCTGTTTTCTTCCGTCCACTTGACGTCGGCTACGCTACCAGTATTACGGTAACGAGCGATGATACGAGACACAAAATATTTATTCACATTTAAATACTGGAGTGCTCCAGCGATAGCCACTTGTGGTTTTCCAGCCAAATATAAAAAAATCAAACTATCACGCTTGAATTCCATCACGAATAAAATTTATTTCTGAAAATTCTAACCAAAATGCTTTTTTTACGCTTGTAAACAATATAATGAGCTGTCACTGGAATAATTTTAATAGGTGTCGGACAAGTGGCTTAGGAATGACAGCAGTCTGAAATTGATTGCAGTTTTTTCATCTCATGCTGTATTATTTTCAACATAATTTTAAAAATCCTGTTTTTTTTTGACAGAAAAAAATCTCAAAAATGTTGTAATTAACATTTAATTTCCCACACTCTTTTTTGGAAAGGATAAAATTAATGTTTTAAATATTTTTTGGCAGGAAAAGTTTTTTAAGTATTTTCAAGACAAAAATTTTTTGTTTTTAAATTAAATATTTTTTTTTTGAAAAAAAAAAAAAAAACACAAAAATTCTGCAAATAAAATTAATTTCTTTGAATAACTTTTAAGGAAAAATATTATTTCCGAAACTTAGGTATTCCCTGCCTTACCCCCTGGTAAACATTACCATCGTTCTCCATTAATAAACAAACGTTGTTTTTATAAAAAACAAAAATAAATGGCTTAAGCCTGGCCATTTTGCAACAACAAAAGATAATTTTTATTATTTTTTTTATAAAATATTTTAATTTTTAACATAATTAAAAAAAAATATTTTTTTTTTGAACAGAAGAAAAGTACTCAAAAAGGTTGTAATTAACATTTAAATTCCCAAATTTTTTAGAATTTTTTTTTCGATTTGAAGATTCCATGATTTATTATGTGTCGTCGTTCCAGTGCTAATAGCATCCACCACAAATGACCACAAGTATGCCTGTCCGATTGTCGGCATAGCAGTGACCAAAAATGATAATTTTTCAATCATTTATCTCAACCAAGAACATAAAAAAATCTACTCATTGCGGGTGGTTTAAGGCCAAGAACCAGTATCGAACAAACATTGCCAACAAACATAACAAAAACAAAACAAACGACAAAAAAAAAAATAGAGAAACCTCAAAAACCACTGAAATCGAATATTTTGACATGAAACCCATTTAAAACTAATGGGTTTCCAGCCATTCCTGTGGCCATCAATGATCATCAATTGCATGGCAACGTTTTGTATGTTTTTATGTGTGTGCGTGTAATAGGGTGTAACGAGGGTGAATGGGATTTTTAAAATTATTTTCTATTCAAGGCATGTAAAAACGTTATTTAGAAATTGTTTTTAATAGGAGGCTGCATATCTTGTCAAGAGCCCTTATTATTGCAGCAGCCCAGCAGAATGCCAATAATCCAATGAAAGGTCACCAACAAAAAATTGAAGAAAAAAATTAAATTGGAAGATAAAATAACTTTTATTAGCGAAAATGGCTTTTGCATACCAAATATTTCGAAATCTGACTCAATATACCCTCCTTATATGGTGTAAGGTATACCAAAATTAGTAAGGAAAGGTTAAAAGTCGGACAAGGCCGAGTATATGATACTCTACATCGCTATGAGTATTTAGTAGAGTGAGTAGGGAGCAATAACCGTAAAATCGGATGAAGATGTATATCGAAGCTATATAAAAATCTGAACCGATCTCTATAAAATTTGGCTGAGATATTTTCGAGCTGCATCTGATGTCCGGTAGCAAATATCATTGTTTTGGAGTCAATATTACGCATGTGACGGATTTTAACACAAAATTGGATAAAACATATACAGTGTGAGATGAAAAAACTGCAACTAACTTCAGACTGCTGTCATTTCTAAGCCACTCGTCTGAAGGCTGCTAAAATTATCCTAGTGACAGCTCATTATATTGTTTACAAGCGTACAAAAGCATTTTGTTGATAATTTTCCAGAAAGAAAGTTATTCGTGACGGAATTCAAGCGTGATAGTGTGATTTCTTTATATTAGAGCACTCCAGCATTTAAATGTGAATTAATATTTTGTGTCTCTTACCATCGCTCATTACCGTGATACTGATAGCGTAGGCCGACGTCAAGGAAGTGGGCGGAAAAAAACAGCAACATCAGCAGAAATGATTCGAAATGTAAAGAAGCGACTTGATCGCAATATTCCATTCGGCAAATATTGAAAAATGAGTTCGGGGTAAAGCCATTGAAATTCCAAAAAGTGCAAGAAATTATAACGCAACAGAAAAAAAATAGACTCAAAAGAGCTAAAGTGTTACTTCGCTTGGCCGAAAGTGGTGAACTGCGGAATTTGGTTTTCTCCGATGAGAAAACATTCGTGGTCCAGCAGTTTGTAAACAAATAATATACATGCCAAAGAGTTCAGCTGAATATTCGCACCTTCGGTTGGCCACCAGAACTCAAGCGCCGGCCATGGTGATGGTGTGGGCCGCCATAACAGCCAATGGTCGCTCTTCGCTCGTATTAACCGACCGTGGCATCAGAATAAATGCCGAATATTATCGCGAAAATATTCTGGAGGGGGTAATAAAGCCTTGGGCACGCAAACATTTTGGCCGCAGACCTTGGACATTCCAACAGGACTCAGCACGCTCCACCCAAGAATGGTTACAAATGAGGTTCCTCGCTTCATTTCCAGCGCACAATGGGCAGCAAAATCTCCGGATACCAATCCGTTGGACTATTGTGTCTGGAGTATTTTGGAAAGCAAGGTTGGCACTAAAAAATACCAAAGTGTCGATCACCGCAAGCGCTTCGCCTGGAATGGGCCAAAATACCGCAAAGCAACATTCGGGCAGCGTGTGACGGTTTCATTGGCCATAATTCCTGCCAAAGGTGACCAATTCGAACAAAGCTTATCTTATTCTAAAATTTGATGCATTTTCCGACATTCTTTTTTTTGGCTTTCATTCAAAAAAATTAAAAAGCTATAACTGAACAAATTTTCTCCAAATTTGATATAATTTCTTTGAGACTGAATTCAGTCGGAAGTGCCAGAATGCACTGATATTGGGGATTTGGTGCGCAATTAACCCGAAATCGGCGGAAGATGTATGTGGGAGCTATACCTAAATTCAAACCGATTCTCACCAATTTCAATAGGGTTCGTTCTTGGGCCAAAAAAATATTTTTTTGGAAAATTTCATATTGATCGGACAACAAATGTGACCTGCATTTTGTTCACAAAAATACATGGGCAGGCGGATAGACGTGCATAAATCGACTCAGAAAGTTATTTTATGAATATCCTCAAAAGTAACTATGGATCTATCTCGCTTCCTTCTCCATGTTACAAACCAATACACAAAGACATAATACCCTTATCACTATATGTTGTTGCGTTCCACTCTTATGTCCATGCATTCATGCAGACACAAATGGGCGTTGTGACTATCGAATAAATGTGTGGTAAATGTTTAAAATGTAAATGTAATTAACACGACAAGAAAAAAATGAGTCTAAATGAATTGCTAAGTTTTATACGAGTTCAGATGGTGTGGTAAGCGGTTAAAAAAGGAAGAACCATTATATGGAAGCCTCAGCAGACCGTTATGTTCTATGCAAAATTTGTCAATAAAATATTTGGCGGTAAAAGAGAAATGAAAGAAAATACTTAATAACAAGTAAAAAAAAAGAAGCTAAGTTCGGCCGGGACAAACTTTTAATACCCTCCACCATTTCGAAGGAACTTGAAAAATTTAAAAAAAAAATCGCAGAAAAATAC